AGCCCTGAGCAGCTGCCCCGGCCCCTTCAGGAGGGAGGGGACTCGGCTTCCACCTCAGTGTTTGCATGTGCCTGCTCGAGGCGCAGTGTTTGGTGAGAGCACTTCAGCTGTTGCTTGTTCTGTGTGCACAGACTGCACAGAGAGAATGAGCTTTGCAGTGGTGAATATCCCTACTAGTTTGGTGTACTCTAGATTTAAAAAAAAGTGTGTGTGTGTGGGGGGGCTTTTCTTTGTGACTATGATATGGAGGAACCTACTCAGTTACTGTTGACAGAGGGAGAGGCCTGCCCTGCCCACCAGCTTCATGCATCAGTGAAATTGCTCCGAGTTGCTTTGGGTTTTTGGCAGGTCCTGAACCCATGGTTCACTTGCTCTTCTCCACTTCTGCTTTCCTCAGGAAGTAAGTGCAGCAGCTCATCAAGTGATTCACAGTGAAAAGTTTAAAGAGCAGAGTGGGAGCTGCTGGGTGCACCAAGATGCCTAGTAGGACAGCAGTGGTAAAGCTGATTTCTCTGGATGTGGTTTTTGCCTGCAACAGGAGCTGCTGAATCTAAGAGAACAGGTATGAAAGCGAAAGGAAGAAACTGTTGAATTTTCAGGGGAGCTGCAGTACTATCCTGCAGTTGGTGTCTTGTGATAAGATCATTTTCAGGCAGCAAAGATTTCAGTGAAAGTTCATCCCAAAGTATGGCATAAAGGTTTGCATGGATCCTTTACTTTAGAGGTGATGATGAAATTGCAGGTGCAAGGGGTGTATCTGCTGCTGCTGCTAGCGGAGATCTGTTTGCGTTGATAAAACCGTATGCCCTTGTTTTCATGATCTTTTGTTTTGAGATGATGAGAGTTGCCATAATCTTGTTCCTTTGATGTTATTTGTTAAAATTATATTGTCCGTGGCTAGGCAGACGCATTCTTGGCTTGCTTTTGAGGTTAGGGAATTTTGTCTCAAATGCAAATTTTCCCAGTATCTGCATTTCTTGGCTACAGTAGGACCACCTGCAGTGCATGCAGAGCAAAAGCTAATCCTGATTATTCAGAAGCTACTTCCTAAAATGGACAAAATTAAAATTGAGTGCATGAGAGAGGATAATTCAGTTTTATCACCACTTCTGGATTGCAGGGAAAAGCTCTTTAAAGAAAAGTACTGAGAAATATAGTTAAGTGTTTGAGACTAAATTAATGATTTGCCAGGTTGTACTTCAGAAAAGCCTTGTCCAAATGAGATGTACTCAGAATGAAAATATGCTTGAACAAATTGAGCCTTACTGTAAGTTAATGCAACTCTGATAATATTAATGGTGTCATACCTTCTTGTAACAAGCTGAAACAGTAATTGAATTTCTGGAAAAAAAAAAGGGTTGTATTCTCTTGAACTGAGATTTGTTTTTTGAACAGTGCTCCCTGAGAAATGTTCTGTGAACAGCATTCAACCCACCCTAGGCTGATAAGTGTTTTAAAACTTTCCTTGGGAGGCAGTGGAGTCCCTGTTGCTATGCCAATCAATTATTTTAAATGAGCAAGACTTTTTGAAGAATAAGCTCAGTTTGGCTGTCAAGAAGGGAGTACCAAGGCATATAACCAGTGAATTTTGGGATGTTGTGAACCATGTGTTTCTGACAGTTATCAGAGCGTTAGGGTTTAGATTACCATGCCAAAAGTAGAAAGAAGACCAAAATGTAAAATTTAGTGTCAGACTTTGTTGTGTTTGTCAGCCATAATTCTGTGAGATCCCTCCCTGATAGTAATTTTGACACACAAATGAATTTCTTGATGCTGGTATAAATTGAGATTTTGTAGCTAGAAAAGATGGGATCAGTTGTTGGACTGGTGGGGGAGTTAATCCTAGGTAAATACAATTAATTCTTAAATAGAAATTAGTCCTTTTAAATAAATTATGCTTGTTCATCCTGGAAACTTTTAGTATCAGTGCTCTGTCTGTGCCCCTGTCAGCTTTGGTTAGGCCTTCTCTGATCTTACCAGTCTAAACAGTCCTAGCCACAAAGCAGTGTGATTTCACACAGGCTTCATTTAGAACAGCAGAGAAAATAAAAAAGTAGGTTCCACTTCCTCTTTCTTAACTGGTAACACTTTCCAAATGATAGCATTCTTTTTTCTTCTTTTTAAATATTTTTTTCACTTATATTTTTTAAAATACTTAGACTTTGCTTGTTGTATCGTTCTGATATTTGTAATTTACCAAAACTGAAACAAGCCCTTAGTTATCTTGTAGATTAAGACAAGTGGTGGGATGTGGTAAGGACCTAACAGATTAGACATTTTCAAAATATCTAGGCACTCCCTAATACTAAAATTGCAAATCCTGAGTTTGTGGTGTGCTGACTGGTGCAAGAGAATATTTATTCTCCTAGGGGAATAGAAAATATGAAGGATTCAGAAACTCAAATGAAACTTTAGACCAAAGAAAAGGCCATTAGTTGAAGCAATATTTTAAGCAGATAGTGCAAATGCAGAGAACAGACTGAAGTTTGGAGTCTGGTATTTAGTTGAATATGCTTTGTATAGGCCTGACTATTGGAGTAAATAATAAAAGCAAGAAATGTGAGTGTACATTCAAATCTTTAATCTCCTGATGTAGTGAAAGGAAAATTAAGATTCCATAGTTTATTACAATTCAATTAATTTTGGTGTGTATGTGTATACCTGGCTTTAACGGCTTCTGTGGAGAGGGGAAGGTATGAGAAATACACTCTGTAATCTCTCATTACATAGCTTCATAGCCTGGGAATTTGTTGAGTGACCAACCATGCTGTAGCTTAGCTGTGCAACCAGCAGGCAAGGGGCAAAGCCTACTAAGTAAATTCTCAATAGAAAAATTCAATATTGCTAAACACATTTGCCTGTCTTCAAGCAGTGCCATTGATTGCTTAGCTGTTGGCCTTCTGAGATAACTGTAAGACCTTCTGTTAATCTGTGCCTCAATTTTCCCATCTGTAAACCTTTTGCAAAGGATTTTGAAATTCTTAGACGGTTGAGGTGAATATAGGGACTGGGTGGGAGTGTGGGTTAGTTGTTAAAACAGATATACCAAGTCAGGTTTTAACATGGAAGCAATACTGGTGTTTCCTGCTCTTTGTGATAGCATTGATTTAGGCGTAGCAGGGTAGCTTTCAAGATCAGATGGTTTCCTGGGAAGCAGGATAGGCCATCTGGGTTGACAGCACTCTCCTTAAGAAAGAGTAACTATGAACTGTGCTGTCACTGCCTCCCATAAAATCTTACTCAGACTTTCATAGCACAATGTCTGGCTTGGTGATGACTCAAGTGTTTCATACTAGGGCTAAGTATAGCATATGACAAGTGTCCCTCCTACATGGTCACGAGGAACAGAGCTTTCCTGTTTACTCCATGCAGGCATGGTCATCATACTTTTTTTTCTGCTGAAGGAGCTTTGTTGTTTTTCAGTTATCTATTAAAGCAACAGCAGCAAAATGAAAACTGCTTTTGAGGTAGGAAGTTGCAGATTGGCGCTTTTGGAGTCTGATCAGAATCTCCTAGTTCTCCCTCTCCTAATGATGAATGGAGTATGAGCTATGGTAGAGTAAGTTCCCATCCACTGGTGTGTGGAGGTCAGTGCTTGCATCCATGGTAGGCGTCTGCTGGGACCATGGGTTCAGTGCAGGTGTCCCAGTGGCCAGTGACAAGCTGGCGTTACCCTCTTCGCCTCCGAGATACTGTGCGACTGAGGAAATGAAGCTGGTTCATCTGGCTTGTAATGGGCAGACTGCATTTTTTATTGATATGCTAAAACAGTAAGCAAAGAGCTGCTGTAGAGAAGGAATCTGTTTCCCAGAAATTGAGGTATGCCGTTGCTTTTGTGTTTTGAGAATGTAATGATGTGTAGTTGGTTCTTCTAGGTTCTTAGAATGCAATAATTTGGCCAAGTGAAGCAGCGAGCTACGTTCAGCGTGTTCATTTTGGTGATAGTACCCAAGTGCCCGCCTATATTGTGACAGTTTCTGTGTTTGATATCCCTGAATTTTGAGCATGTGGACTATGTCCTAGGGTCTGATCAGCATGGGGCTCATTTTGCTGGAGACTGGGAAACTGGAAAAGCCCCATTTCTACTGATGTATGTGCTGTGATTATGTAGGCTGTGAGGCACAAGGGCTGGCTATGGCAGAGAAGCAGAGTTGCTGTGGACACAGTGGAGTCAGTGACCTTCCCGGAAGATTGTGCATTCAGGACAGAATTAGATGAAAAGACCTGGGGTGCAAATGAGGATACCAGGATTCCTTTGGCTATAGTACAAGATGGTCCCATGGTAACTTTGATGCTTGGTCCTTCACAAAGGCCCAGTGTATGGAATCAACAAAACAAATAATGCTACAGTAAAAGCACCTACCTTGTGAAGAGCTGTACATCTCAGGGCAGGAGAGCCAAGTGTTGCTGCCTGTCTGGGCCAGCACATCCAGGTGGCATCCTTGGCTTGTCCCGACAGCTTTCACTGCAGTCGGTGGCAGGAAGCCCCAGCCAGCGCTTCCTCCCTGCTCTGGGTCCCTTGTGCCAGAGAAGTGCAGCTTGGCCTGGCGTAGTCCATAGTCAAGGAAATGTGTAACATGGCTCTTGCATAAATACTCTTCTGTTGCAAATCTAATGATGGTCATAGTTATGAACTCTGTTTATAGAGAGAGCATCTGACGGAAGGTCAAGTTGGGGGCTGGAACCCAAATTTTCTACCTGGTTTATTAATTTGTCCTGCCAAAGCCCAGATGAGCTGTGTAGCATATGCAGGCCCATGTCACAGGAGAGAGCTCCTCTGTGCGACTGCAAGTCGTGGTGCTCTTGTCTGGGAGCAGCGAGCTTAGCCATTAGAAGCAGAGGATAAAATAGTAGCTGATAACATTTTCATGTTCCTGAATCCCCCAGCTCCAGTGCTCAAGGCTTCTAGTGCCTTGTTTCAAGGGACAATGGAATGGGGTGGAGGGATGAGACTACCAATAAATGATGCAGTATTTTTTAATTTTAAGTTTGGTTTCAGCATGGACAAAGAATCAGAGCTCATGAGGCATCTTGAAGATCCATCTGGCAAAGCACAACAACAAGAGCGAAGCTCTGATGAAGGAGGCGAAGCAGGAGCACCAGGAGAGGCTGCTGCCAGCGAGGACAAACTACCCCAGAGCCATGGCCTCCAGTGGGAGACTTTAGCAAGGCAGTTTGTGGAGTATGAACAGGTGGCTCCATTTCTCATTGCAGAGGAGCAAAAGAGAAGGCTGCTGGACTTTCTCCCCCTCTTTTTAAAGGTTTGTTCTCCTTACTGCCTTTCATGTGAATGTTGAGCACACACTTGAATGTTGTATGCATTTTTGTGACCGTTCTCATGGCCAGTGATGCTAACTGGTGCATGATCTCTGTGTCTATGCACTTGTATTACTTTGGGAGGCTGGGCAAATGCAGTTTCTTGTCCTTGTTTCATCTAACTTGTTATGTTAGCATGAAAAAATATATGCAAAAACACTGTTTTACATAAACGGCTGAATTCTACTCTCGGAGTTGAGGAATATCCTGATGAAATCGGTATGTTCCAAAGTGCTCGCCATGTGGAGCGGTTACTCCATCCGTGTCTCATCTTATTCCTGGGCACAGTTTCAGCCTGGGTTAATGTTGTTGTGGCATGCAGCCACATAAGGGAAATGCAGGCATATCTGCCAGTCTTTAGGTGGAATTTTGGGGATAATGGCAGTGCTGATGTCTAATTTAAGTGCTTGAGAGAAGTTTTGTTATAGATAGGAAAACTGTGGCATGAGAGGATGAAGGAGACACTATGGATCAAGAATAGAACTGAGATTGGTTGTTAACAGGCTGTCTCACCTATTTAATTCCTTAGAGCTCCTATGAGCCAAACATTTGAGATAGCCGCATTGAAAGGTAGTCCTGGGAGAATCTTTTTGCAAGCCAGGCCCCTGAAGAGCTGCTTGTATTTGCTCAAGTGTGTGAAAAGTGCAGGGAGCTTTGCTCAATATTGGAGCATAGTAGTGTGAGAGCCTAGTGACAGGCGCAGAAAACCTGGCTTATATTTAAATATACTTAGGGTGTGTCCTAGTGCAAAAAAAATGTTTCCTCCTAAATTAGCTGGACTTCATGAGCTATGGAATTTGCATCGGTGCTCTCTAACTATGTGAGTCTTTTGTAAAGAAATTAAAGGCTTCTTTTGGGTGAAGCTATGTTTTAGTGATGGCACATTTCGACCACCTGTATGTGTGAGTTTTCACTGCTCTTGGGTGCGCAAACTGAAACCCATCTGTTTCCACCTATATGAGCCCATTTTCTAAAAATGATTTAGTGGGAGGTGGGGAGGAAAAGCTGTTAATGACATGTTCACTTCATCTTTGTAGGAACACAGGCACACTTTGTAGTGAGAGACATTTTGAAATCAGTGTGGAGAAATCAGTGCTAGGAAATCTTTGGTATTCTTGATGAGGAGATAATGTCTAGAGATAAAAAAAAAAAGCTTTTCAGTCAGCTGGATAATAATGAGGAGATAATGTCTAGAGACAAAAAAGCTTTTCAGTCAGCTGGATAAAGCATGAGCCTGTGAAGTCTGTAAATCTTGTTGCAAAGCAGGGCTAAATGACTGTAATTGCGAGGGCCAGTCAACAGCACTAAAAGAGGTCTCCTTTTGGAGTCAGTGTGGTATCAACTGTAGCAAAGACTCTGTACTATCTGAGCACAGGCTTGTCCTGGCCAAAGGCAGTGCAGACAAAATGAAGAGAACAGTCTGAAAAAGCAGTGCATATCCTGGAGTCTCAGACCAGAAGCAGCTTTCTCACTTGTAGGATGCCCTTCAGACATTTTATATAATAACTGGAAAAAAAAGCTTTTATTTCTTTTTTACTGTTTCCCCTTTACTTCTGAATTGGTTTGTGTAGAATTGTGCCCTTCCTGAGTCAAGCCCGTATTTGGAGAGAAAGATGCTGTCACTGAAATTAAATACCTCTGTCTCTCCCCTTGAATATGGCACTACAAATTCTGGGACAGACTTGACTTTTTGGAGCTTACCACCACTTCATCAGCTCATGGAGGAAGGGTGGGGGGGGGAAAGGCTTTATAGAGGGCAACATTTCTTCCTCAGTCTTCAAAAATTGCTCTTCAAAGTTAGATCAGATCACTAACACTGTCAGTTCTCAGTAAAGAATCACTTATTTTATGAATCCACTTTTTAAATAGCTAACTGCAAATACTACAGTTCTTTTTCTGACACTGCATAGCAGTGAGATGTAGCCCTTTTCCTTGGAGCCTGAGACCTCTGTTACTTTGGGACCATCACTAGTGGAGAGCATATTCTAGATATCAGTGTCTGACCCACATGAAGTTAAAGTTACAGGAATACAAATTGGTACAGTGGAGGCCTGGGCTGTAGTGGGATTGAATGACAAGGTTTCTGCACAACAGCAGCACTGCTGTGAACCTGTGCTTGCTGCTCTCTGCTCGATATGGTCTGAACTTGGCAGTGTGAGCTGCTTTCTGTTGGCTGAAAACTGAGTGTCACTGGTATTCTCTGAGGTGTTCAGATCTACTCTTTTTAAAGAAAAACATCAGAGATCTATTCCCATTTTGTTCCGAAAGAGACGTAGCATAATTACACACATGGTATATCCTTAAGTTGCTGTGGATTTTTTATCAATTGTTTTTTCTTAGACAATTTTTGTGCCTTACAGAATCTTTCCCTTGATGAAAGCAAAAGGGAGTGACCAGGGAACCTTGTGGCTGAGACTGAGTTTCTCTGAACTTCTTGCTTTTTTGAAATCTGAGAAATTATCTTGTTTTTAACATTTAAAGCTAAGCTAGTAGAAATACTGGGCATTTGCATTTCACTCATTTATAGGCAAAGTAAATATAGTTGGACACAGTTTCAGATGACCATGCAGTGCACTCTACATCTAATGCAGAGAAGCACTGGCTGCTGCCTTTGAAGCAAAGAGCCGGTGCTGTCTTGGTGTAGCTGTTCTCTGCTTGCCCGATTGCAGGTGTGGCAAAAGAACTGGCACTTTGTGTGTGTGGTGGGGGGAATAGCTTGTCCATGAGCAGCCTTCAGAGCAGCCTTTCAAGTAATTGAAAACAAAGGTGGGAACTGAAATATCCTTGTAGAAGAGCATCCCAAAAATCTGTTTTGGTTTCTTAGCTGCCAGTATCACAAGATGTCTACTCCAGATTATTTCAGGAGAATAATTCCCATAATTGTTACTTTGCTTTCTTCATCTGTCATCTGCACCTTTTTTCTGAATTGGTTTTGTTGGAGGACACTGTTGTAAAGAAACTTTTGAAGGTTGCTGGGGACAAAGGTGTCCCATCCTGGCCTTTGGATGTGACTGCAGCACTGTTGCTAAGCAATGACTAGTGTCCCTGAGCTTGGATGTTTTGTATGAAAACAGTGGTACCCAACTTGCAGAGGCTGAGTGCCTTAGTCTACTGGATTTTTTTTTTTTTTGCTTCTACTTTTGAAATTAAGCTATTTTTAGAAGTCTGAGCAAACAAACCTTTAGTAGGGGATTTTTTGCCAAATTTGGAGCAGGGAACTACAGATGAAATCTTGTTGTTCCTGTTGTCAGTTCCACATTGACTTGCTTGTCCATTCTTGAACATGTAATTTATAAACACAAAACGGCTTCCTTTGCTAGCTATATATCTCAGACAATATCTTCCTAAGGGGGCTTATTATAGTGTGGAAAATGTTTAGTAATCCCGGGCTGGTAAATGTTTGTCGTCATTTCAATATGTTGAAAGTTTTTCTGCAGTGAAACTGAACTATACTCAATTTAACTAGTTTTGTTAGTTGTTAGTCAGGCGATTTATGCTGGCATGGCAGCATACATAGTTCTTAACCTTATAGACAGATAGGTTGATCAACTCAAATTATTGCTGCAAAGGCATTTTCAGTGCCTTCAGGGCTAGGGTACTGCAGTTATTCAGCTCCTCTTCCATGCTTTGTTTCATTTCCTTAGTGGTAACATGTTATTTCTATCCTGCAAGAAATTCTGTTTTTCTTCTGGTCCTTACTCTCATCCCTATAAATAAGGGTAGAATTTAAAGGTAGTCCTGTGTTATTGTGGCTCCTTTCTGACAGACCTATTGCCCTGCTGACAGACTGCTGATCCAGTCCTGTTTCAGTCTCTAGGTAGCTGAGACTGTGCAATGACTTGCTGAACATGGACAATATATTATGAAATTTTATTTTTACTTAATTGAAGATTCCATTTTTACTGATGAGCTTCAGTTTTGGGAGACCATTTTTGAAGAAAATGTTTTGATTGGAAAACTTACACAATTGCATTTGTAACCTCTTCAGGGTACAGAGTGTGCATGTCTTGGAAAGGCCTAGCATACTTTTTCAAAAGGTAGTTCCAAGTTCCTCTGTGGTGCTGGGCTCCTGTCTGTCTGACAAACTGCTTGATGGTGTTGGTTGAAGAGGAAATTTTGAAGGCTATTTTTACTTTGTTTATTTACATGTATTAGTACTTCTCAATACATTGAAGACATGCTGTACCAAAACCATTTAAACGGTTGCTCCTGCTTGCATTTCAGGCCTGGGAACAGTCTGCTGGAACGATTGTATTTCCCAATATTCAACTATTAGCCAGTGAAGTTGCCAAACTTCTGACAAAAGAGATTAAGAAGAATCTTAATGGCAAGCCTGCAGGTAATGCCCCATGTGCCACATCCACTGTGTGCTTATTTGTGAGCTCTGCTGTCATTGAGCTGTCATCCATGTTGAATTATGTACTTAGTGTGAGGGAAATAAAGGGAGAACAGAAAATGCTAAATGTAGGAACTTGAATCTTTTAGTGTGAACTAGCATTGATATTGCCTTGCAAATCTGGCATGGTGCATGCCATAGTGACTGGGATGTTGGAGTCTTTGCAAGTGGAAATGTAGAATGATGGAGAAAAGTAAAATAGTCTGTTACAATTACTATTCTGACAAACTTTATCAATGGGAAAAGTGCTGCTAGCCACATGTTGCTTTCCTGCTGGCTGTCATATGCTCTTGCCATTGGTTAGCTGGCAGGCTTGATGGAATCTAGCTGGTGTTGCTAGTGATGCTTTTAAGTTTGTGAAGCATCTAATTCACATCAACCAGCCCGAGTGTAGTTCTAGGGCAAGATCCTTTTAATTCCTTCTATTTATTTCAGTGCACTTTTACGTTAGTTTTGTTGTCAGATCTTTGTCAGATCTGTTAAGAAAGGATCAATTAAGTATTTTCATCTCTCATTAAGGAATTAAAGTTTAATGTTTTTGTTGTAACAGAGGAAGCTCGGTTGGCCTTGGAGCAGTTGCTGCAACAGAAAAGGGAAGTGGAAGATGGCCATGTGCTCCTGAAATCGGTGTATCTCCTCTCCCAGGCTGACGTGGTAAGAGAAGTGACTACAAAGGCTTTTGGGGTTGGTTTTGTTTTCTCCTTTTTACTTCTGAGTAGCTGTGCAGCCACCCCAGCAATGGAACATTTATATCTTATAATGTATGTGCTGTCCCAAGTGCTTTGAACATCACTATGCTTGGGATATGCAGCCAGATGGAGGACATTCTGCTAGGTTTACAGTCCAGGCTTTTTTTGTTGTTGTTGTGATTATTGCCTGCCAAACAAGTATGCTGTGACATTTTATCTTCTCTGTAAGTTTTACAGAGCCAAGGTGGAGACTTGAAGAAACTAAGTTCTAAGAGAAAAGCCAAGGCCTTTGGAAAGAATGCGTTTTTCATGTACTAAGACTATGATTAGAAGTGTTTATGCAGTTACTCAACTAGTTAGAAATGTAGAGGCATTATAGCTAATGGACGTTATACTGTGTCAAGGATGGAACCAAGAAGTGCTTTTAACATAGGCAGCCTCTGTAACTAGAAGCTGTCCAGTGAGGAAAGATCAAGAAGGAACTGTCTGCTGTAGGGCTTGCTGCTAGTTAGTTTGCAGCTTAGATGCTTTGTCTCCTGCAGGCTTTCTAATAAGGACATCCTGAGTAACTCTGTCAAAGCCCTAATTCAAGTAGGGCAAAAACTTGGGGGAAGAGCTGGCAACGCTCTGTCAATGTGCTTGCTTCCCCCAGTTGTGTGCCCTGCAGCATTTGTAAGAATAGAATGTTTAAGTAGCTGGTTCATGGGGCAGGACTTCAAACAGCATGTAGAAACACAGGGAAAGTGCTGTTGGTTTCTGGAAGGGCTGATTTTGATTTTCTTGACTTAGAGGACACTGTGGAACATCATTGGATCTGGTCTTCCAGCTGCTCTGATGCAGTGCCTGTACCTTTTCTTTACTTTTCCTGTGAAGAAAAGCAGTGATGATAGAGAGACAAGTGAGGATGACCCTCAAACTCAGGACATGCTTGTTCAGGTGAGATGCCCTTAGGGTGTTTCTTTGCCCTGAGTGCTCAGATATTCACACTGACTTTGGATCGGAGATATTGACCGCTTTATTTTGTGATCCTCCTGATACTTGTTAAATGCTTTTCAGCCCTTAAATGTAATCCTTTCTTTGGTGACATTTGAACCATTCTGAGATGATGCTGCTATAGCTTTCATTTTGTTATTAAACAAAATTGCCTCACTGTAAATTGGAAAAAAAATCCATTTAGCATATCCTAATGATTTTCACTTGTTCCTTTTACTCCATACTTCCCCAGGCATCAGTATTAACTTCTGGTTTACTTTTACCCTGCTGATCAAACTTAGCTAAAACTGCTGATGGCTGGAACCACATATGATTTGATGTGATTTTTTTTGTTTGTTTTTGTTTTTCATTCTTCAGTTAGACCTGACATACATCATCCAGTTTTTATTCACTTGTTTCTGTGTGTAGCCTTTTTGGAGGGCATTGATACCATGGTGTTACAGCCCCGTGAGCTGTATCATGACCTCACATAGAGTTTGTGCCACTTTGGTTTCCAGTGGTTGTGTGCAGCTATGGCCAGGTTGGGTGCCTGCTAACCAGTAGATTTTTACACCTCTCTGAATACTTGCAAGTGTGTGTATTGCAGCTGATGCCTGTCTATTTTTCAGATCATGCATAATATATACAAAGAGGAACAAGGTGTGGAGGAACTTCTGGCAGCTGATAAACTTCAGTCATTAATTATAGCAACAGCTTCCCTTTGGGACCAGTGTAGCCCTTCATGGAAAGTACCTACAGGCCGTGTGCTGCGAACAATTTCAAAGGCTCAGACCAAAAACAGCATTGTGTACCTACAAGGTTTGATTTAGTACTTTGACTTTTCATTTCTTCATGCTTGTCCTTGGAATTAATCCACAAGAAGAATCTCCCTGAATAGAAGCTCATATCTCATCTGGTAGTCAATCATCTGCAAAGTATGGGTTTTTGGCTTCCTAGATAGGAACATTTAGTGCAGATAGAAAACTGGAAACAGATAGATTTTTTTTTAATAAAGAAAGTAAACTGTAGGTAGGAGCCTCTCCCATCCAGTCCCACTGATGCGGGAAACCACAAGACGTAATTTTTTCTTAATTATATGACTTGACAGGTGAATCTAAGGCTTGTCAATGATGAATATTGTTCTTCCGGCAATATTTTCAGCATTGTATCTTTTGGGGTCATGATTGGTTCTGAGTGATACCCTCATTTTTTCTAGGCTTCATTACAGTAAGGCATTTTCTTGTTCCTATAAAATATAAAGGTTGCTCATCTCAGTGTTTTACAAGGAAAAACATTGCTATAGTTTAGTGGGTTGGTTTGTTTGCTTTGTTTTAACTTGGTTTCTTGGGTGAGATTGAAAGACTGAGGAATAACAGTTATTCCTGACTGCAGTGAACTGTTTAGGAATTTGGAAGCTCTGCTGGGAGGCCAGGCCATCAGGTAAGATAAATAAGACTAGATTTCATTGCTCAGAGCAAGATATGTATATGGTGTTACACCTGCCCTACTGAGCAAAAAATTAATCTGAACACTGCACAGAATGTGAGTGACTTAATACAAGACAATTAGATATTTCAACCTCTACTTTGTACTGACAGATGGATCCCTATGTATCAGTTTTGTTGGGCATGCGGGACCTTTACTGAGGCTGAATCAGCAAAGAACATCTGCTTTAAAAGAAATAAATGTTTTTCATGTAGTTTGAGTATGGCTTTTGACTGTATGAGTTAACTATATAACTATTTTACTGGGAGATAACTTCTCAAGTTATTTCATTTTTACTGGTAACTTTGCATTTCTTTGTCTGTTTTTAAATACCCCTATAACTTTTCACAGCTGTGGACTGCATTAAAATTGCAATTCAGAATCTGTTTAAACTGGCAGATACCCTACCTGCTCATGACATATGTGAAGCTGTTAGTATCATCTTGTGTTTTGTGAAAGACTCCTATCCTGTATCATCAGCTTTATTAACAGAGTTTGAGACTAATGATGGCTACCAACTCCTGCTAAAAATTTTACTCAGGCAAGTATGGAGATTTGTATTTGTGTTTTAGAGGATGGTAAAACTTGGTTTTCTGAAGGTAAGATGATCCCTTTTAAAATATCAGACTCTTTAGAAAATGGTGTGTGAATGCAGAGCCAGTAATAAAAATTGTGATGTTACAAACCATCTTGCTATTTTAGGAGAGGAAGCAGTGCATAGCTTCTCCTCCTTAAAGTGCAAGGAAAATTAACATTAGCAGAAGTTGGTCTAGAGGTGGGCGGTGGACTTATCCAATACAATACAATGACTCTCCGTTAATTATTAGTATTAGAAGGGTTTGGGGCAGAATCAACATAAGTAGCTGTGTCTGACATTTGACAGACTCGTTTGAAACTGACAAATTTGAGCTGAGATTATAGCTCAAATGATTTCATTACACAGAGGAGACGTTGACACACCATCATCATGTCTGAATCACAAAGTTCAGGCTAAACAAGAGCTTTTCCCTTTTCAAAGGCTAAGATTTTTCTATTAGTTACGTCATCCAGTAGATTCCTTACATTTACCAAACTTATGTCTACTTTTTTTCTTCAAGTTTAATTCAAGTTTAAGGATAAGATTCAACTCTAATCTTGGTTTGGATCAGAAAAATAGCATGCAAAAAGTTTTAGTTTTCTGATCTCTGAGCTCTCAAAATTTATTACCAAACAACGCTTTTTGAGAGTTTTTTTAATGTACATGTATTTGAGCTAAATTCCAAACTATATTTCCTTTTTTTCCTCAGAAGACTTTTACATCATCACTACAATTTTCTTTCTCGGTTTTGTGATTTTGTTGTTGTCTTTCTGATCCAGAATGCAGCATGAAAGTGTGGATCATCCTACTCTTTGTAGGTCAACTAAACAAGTCATTAGAGATAAGAGAAAAGATGGCAAAGATGGGACATGGGGAGTCACCCAGATAGCTCTTGTGTGCTCAGTATGTAGTTTGAAAGTGTTTGTGTTACTGAGGGATGATCCCATGACTGTCTCAACCTTTGTTTCTAGATGTGAGGGACTGCAGGAGAATGAAGGAGACTCCTGTCTGGAAGAGATTCTGGACATGCTGACTTGCCTAACCACCTGTGGAAAAACGGAATTGAAAGTTTCTGGCAATATTGCGCACCCGCAACTACCGCACTTTGATTTTGAACCAACACAGTCTTCTGGTAGGGAACATACATATGGCTGTGTAGGCAAGTCACAAAAGAATGAATCTCTATGCATTATTTATCTAAGATGGAGAAAGAAGCCTGAGACAGCATCTTTTGATTCAAGTGCTTAACATTGCAGGAGCCTAAATACTTTCTGCATCAGAGAGAACTGGCCATGCCAGCAGTAGGGTCTGATCCCAGATTGAGGACATGCCTCCCAGTTGCATCCTTTGGATCTGTGACCCATATTTACAGTCTTAGAAACAATTTAATCTTATAGCTAGGGTGCTTATAGTGAGTCTTAAATAGTATTGCTGTAAAAAAGATCTCACATGATTTTACTTCACAGGAATGACAGTGAAAAATCTCCAGGCTTTTCAAGTGCTGCAGTCTGTTTTCCAGAGAAGTAATGATGTGCGCCTCTGTAGGAGAATCCTAGCAGCAATCGGTACCATATGGGCCTGGGATGCAGTGAACTTCTTTCTCTTGGAATGGACACTACAACCTATCAACCAGTTTACTGACATTATCCACATGAAACCGCACACAGTGCAGGTTCAGTTCTTCAAGCTGGTGGAGTCAGTGGTGCTGGACATGTCCTACATCCCCCATGAAATCTTGAAGAAGATTCAGTATTTGGTGAAAGAAAACATAGTGCCATTCTGCACCTTAACAGCTCTCCGATGCCTTCTCAACATGACCAAGAAGGACCTGCTGTTCAGTGACATATTCCGGGACTCTGGCCTCTTAGGCCTGTTGCTGGCACTTCTGCGAAAGCAAGCCAAAATCCTGAGGAAGTCAGGTACAGCCCATGGCAGTCACAGCGACTGGGGAGGCAGGCAGATCTGTAGGAGTGAATGAACCTCCTTGTACAATCAATTTTTAAGTGTTATGTACTCACTAAATAGAATTAATTTGGAAGCAACCTGACCTAGGTTTAAATTCATAGGATGTTTTTATTATGCCAGGCTGATTATGTCAGGTTCTCTCTGAAATGTTAGCTCTTTATCATTCTGCTAACTTTCCTGAACAGACATGGGTAGTTCTTCACCAATGTATTACAAATTACTCTGGAGGGTGCTGTTCACCTCACATTTCTATACTGACCTCAATTTGTAGTTCTCTGAGTCCCTGATCTCAAAGTAGGAGAAGAAAGAGACAGAACTCTGACTTCAGATGCACTCTGCGGTCAGTTTTCCACATATCTTATTCTCTCTGACAATAGCACATATTCATAAGGACTGACAATGGAAGGCAATTTCTGGAATTTTGGCCAACTTCTACCCACAGTTACCACTGTCCCTTGTTATCTGATGTAGTTATTTCCTATTCTGAAAACAGGAAGGTAAGGTAATAGTTCTGAAAACAGGAAGATAATAGATGTGGTAACTGTGGGATGCAGCTAAATTGTGGTACAGACTCACATCTTTGTTTGTTCTTTTGTTGTTTTTAAACAGTATTTTAAAGAAAGCTAAAGTATTTCAGAAGAATTTCAGACTAATGGTCAATTAGTAAAGGCAGAGAAACCCAAATGCATTCTCAAATTATTACATATAACTTTTGATGTAATAACTATAATGGTTTGCTTTATATACGTTTATGTATGTTTGCATTTTTGATATCAGAATACTTAATTTTTTGTACTAAAGCACGTAAGTGTTGCCAAGATTAATATGATGGTTACTGAACACTTTACCTTATGGTTATCAGTCGACTGGTGTGTAGAGCAGTGCTTTGCTTTTGTATAAATTTCACTGCATTACATCACTTGATGACCTAAATTGCACAGAGTAAATGATTGAATGACTGGATGATTTATAACTTTATACACAAAGTTGAAGAGGAGAGGGTGGGAATGTTTTGTTTGGAGTGACCACTCTTCTTGTCTCTTGGTTTTCAGGAATTTATTCTGCAAACTGAGATCTTTAGGTAAAATAACCTGCCTTATACTGTTTGATCCTAGAAATGTTTACATATGGATATATATGAAGTTTCTGCTCTGCACTTTTAGTTTAGGCATTCATGTACTCTCAGATAATATATTTTACAATTTTGTACCTCAGTTTTTAAGGTTATTTCGTTTGTATATACTGCCACTAGATAATGCTATGCTGATAACTCCATATCAGCCTTATAGATGGGAAATGAAGGCACAGCAGTCACAAATTCTGCCTAGAGTCATGCAAGAGATCTGTGTTGCAGAGCATAGAATCTGATCAGTGGTTCTCAATTCCAGGGTAGGTCTTAATCACTAGTGTGTGGCCTGTATGTGTATTGCTGATCACTGAGGGTTTTGAGTAGCCTGTATTTAAGAGAAATAGAATTTACTGGAGACTTGTTTTTATTATTTATTCATTTTGCAATATTCTAGTTGCAAGTAACCGCATGCCTTGTATAAATTGTGTTGTTGTTCATATGCAAATAGCTGGAACCCAGGTGCCTGCCCTGGAAGAAGGCACCGAGAAAGAATTAAATGCAGTGATGCTGAAGATGGTGGCTGCCCTTACTGTTGGGTCCGTGAGGAACACTGGTAAGAAATGGCACATGACTCTTATCTCTGTGATACTTGATGATAAATGCCCTAGGTGCATCTTAAGAAGCACCAGCAAATTTTCTGATTTTGTGCTTCATTCAGAAGTGAAGAAGAAAAGCTACAAGCCATAGGGATGACTATATTATACCGAGAAGAAATGTTGCAAACACTATAATACATTCCTAATGAGCCTTACCCCAGCAGTCACTCTGATCACATCATCTATGTGGATAGCCTTCAAAAGTTTGAATACATAGAAAACATATTTCTGTTAGCAGTGGAAAACACAATTGTGCCTGTGGCTTTTGCAGGTTAATATTTGGGTTCTGTTCTATGATATCTGAGAGATCTTGACACAGTCAAGCAGACTTACTCATGCGTTTGGTATTGGCACACTTCAGATGTATGTGTATGGGAACTCCTGTGGAACATAATACAGGAAAAAAAGGAAACTTTTGAATACTGTAATTCTTTCAGTTAACTTTGAATCCCAAATTCTGGAATCATCAGGTTGGCAGCATCTCCCCAAGTAGAAATGTATTGTCACAAACTACTATGTCATACATTTCCCTGCAAAAACTGAGGAAATGTTTAAGTTTAAAAATAATTCAGAGTCTTTTTCCTTCATATACCCATTATATTGGGAAGCTGTCATCTCTGATTGTAAACTGTGGTTATCAGGAGTCATTGCATCCCCAGCTGTTCTTGTGCCCTTCAGTTTGTGACATTTAGCTTAACTAGCTCTTCTCCTTGTCTCTCCTGGTATTTTTATGGAAATGCAGCACTGCACACCAGCACTGAAAATCTACTTGTGAAAACTACAAGCAAGGATAGTTAAAGTAACAAATACCTTATTTGTCTCAGTTGTTTTAAAGGACTATGGGATGGTGCCATACATCAAGATATTTTTGGATGATGAATGCTATAGGAGTGCCACTCTTAGCATCTTGGAGCAGCTGTCAGTCATCAACTATGAAGAATATATGAGTATTGTTATTGGGGCCCTCTGTTCATCTACTCAAGGGGAACTACAACTGAAACTAGATTTGCTGAAGGTAATTAATATGGCTTCCTGTAGCTTGTTGTTTTCTTTGAAACTGCTTGGCTTGTGGCAACTGGCTCTTAGCCTCAGCTCCAGCATTGATTTTTTCCAAGAAGGTAAGTGCAAAAGAAAGAAGATATGGGCTGAGTTTTGATTCTTGTAAATTGAGTGCTTTCATTTTTAGTGATGTGTATGTGGGCAATACTTTCACTCAAAGTGAGACTGTGCAGCATTTTGAGGACCTAAATAATAATACAGGACAGAGAAACAGTTATATATGTTATTACATGTTTTTGTTTCTCTCCTCTGTTACAAGCAGAGATTTGGAAGAAGGTGAGGAGAGGTGAAGGTGTGAGACTACTGAATTGAGGATTGGGGTAGGCATAATCTGATGAAGTCTACAGCTTTGATTCAAAATGGCAAACTTGAGCAGTATCTGTGGAAAAGTTGAGTGTGGTGTCCAAACTAATATGAAAATAAATGCAGGTTCAGTGTCTAATTCTGACAAATGATAACTGTATTAAAACATAATGTAAGCAAATGAATTTATTATCTACATCCTTTGGGACTGTGATTGTGTTACACACAAATTCAGATTGATTTGCTAATATATATTTAGCTGTTAAAGCCCGAGCCCAAATGCAATTAGCCCTGCCGTATTCTAGTGTGGCACGTGGACAATTATGAGGAATAACAAATAATGAAATGTGAAATGGATTCTGTTAGTGTTAACTGAGTTAGGGGGTTTCCAGCAGACATCAGTTTTATAGATTCAGGGCAGAGGAATACTAACTCATAGGTGATTAAATTCTAACAGAGTTAGAGCTGGAAGAAATGTGGTTACAGCTGACCTTCTCTGAAACGTGTTAAAGCCATCCTGATAACTTCAGTTCTGAGTTATTCAATTTACTCCCTGTTCAGAAGTCTCTGCCTGGTTTGATACATTATGATGCAAAATTGAATGACAGTAATAGAGTTCCCCCTCCCCTCCACTTCTGACAACAGTTTCTCATAGTCCTGGATCCTGCTAGAGAAACATTCATTGTAGATCTCTTCCTCTACAGCAGACTGCAAAGAGAACTCACTCTTTCACTGGATGTCCATTGGGAAACTTCGTATATGAAATCATGTCCTTCCAATGTTAAAAAAACAAACAAACAAACAAAAAAACTCAAATTTGGAAGCTCCCATATACCTGTAAGAGCAGTTTCTTCATTAAATCAATGTGCAACATCCCCAAAACATGTCATTGACTGTGTTTCCTCATGAGATCTTTCTCACTGACTTGATGCCATTATATCTAATAATTTTGGTGGTTTTGTTTGTTTAAATAGGGACAGAATCAGGCACATAGCATTAAAATTTTACAAGTGGAATAGGCTGAGTTTTGTTTGCTTGTGTGATATCATCAAATAGCATTCACTTGTAACTTTCACCAAGTCCGTTGCAGTTCAGGAAAACTTGAGCTTTCCTGAAATGCATTAGCTTTGGATCCATTAGCTTTGGATCTGACTCTGGCTTTTTTTCCTTTGAAAAAATGGAAACTATAAACTTATTCCTCTTGACAGAAGAAACTGCTATTGCCTTTCTTTGAGGAGACCCTGCTGCTTGCAATGTTGTTTGGGCCCTGCTGGTTCAGTGGTTTTCTTGGAATGGGTGTACTCAGTCATAAGTGTAGCGTAGAGGACAAGTATAGGGTGCCTTCCTGGAGGAAGTCTTGCACATAGAACTGCATCATCCTCACAGTTTCTTTACATGGGGAATTAGAGTTGAATCTCTACTTTCATTTACGTGAATCTTGAGAGTTCAGAGTCTGTGAGGACCGGTCAGAATAGTGGAAGTTCTAAAACATTACATACACTAAGCAGTTTGGCCCCAGCTAAAGCAGGAATTTTTACATCTTGGATGGTTCCTGTCAGCACCATTTCCTAGTTGGCAGTCTGACTATGAGGGTTTCTCCGATTGATATGTTTGACTCTTTGGGAATGTGAGGAGGGCAAAAGGAGGAAGACCGTGCAGTGATAGCCTTTTTTGACAAGCAATTTTGGCTCAAGAAGCAGAATTTCAGTAGAAGATGGTATACTTTTACTAACTTGGAATTAGAAACTTGAAGCTTACTTGAAGCTTATTTGTCCTTTGTGTGCTATTGGTTTAAGTGCTGCTTTTGCCTTCTTTCCTCCTAATGTTTCTAGTCACTGCTGAGGATACTGGATAGTCCAAAGAGCCATTCAGCTTTCAGAACTTGCAGTGGATTCAATGGGCTCCTCTCCCTTCTCTCAGACATGGAAGGTGCATTGCAGGACCCTCCAACTGGGCTGTGGGCAACAGTTGGGCACAATTGCGTTTTGGAACTTGTTTTCTACACACTTCAGGGCATAACGGCAGCCCTACACCTGGACTCTGTCAATAGCAACTTCTTCCAGAAGAATGGTCTCTTTGAAAAGATGGCAGAGGATCTTGGGACACTTGGCTGTTTCTGGACGCGAGGAGAACAGCAAATCCTTCCTGGCCTTGAGAAGACAAGGACGTTTGCAGAATTCTTGGATGCGGCTTTTTGCTCTTCAGAACCTTTTCCAAGGTGGCTGAAAAACTGCATATGGATTCTGAATTTTCTTGATCACATGGTCAAAGGGACTCTGCACCTGGAGAGCTACTTCAAGGAGATACAGACAGAGGTGGAAGAGACATCAACAAATGACTGGGAGGAACCTCAAGCTAAGGAGGAGCATCCTGTGGCTTTCAAAAGACCAGGCAACAAATTACCTGCCTCTGCATATATTCCATGGGGAAACCCTGAACAGAAGTAAGTCTTTATTTACTACAGAAAAAACAATCAGACTGGTTTCTCCATTCTGTATGGTGGTAAACTGAGACTGGTAGTAAGTACGTGGCATGATTTGCCTTAAAATAGATGGAAAACGTGGTTTCAACTTTCAGGCCTCTTGACAGCAGAAATCACCTGTTTTTGTAAGGCAAATGATGGCAAACACTTGGACATAAGCTGTTCAGTAGATCAGTGGGATGCAGTACACAGATTTTTACAGGTTAGTCTGGAGGTTCTGGCACATGCGTATTGTAAAACAGGACCAGGTTCTAAGAATAGGTTGTTACAACTTAAAGCCCTCTCCTAGTCTGTCATTAAGCATGCCCGGAACAATTTTGACTTTTTCAATGGTATGGAAAATTACTAAAAAGTGGAACTCAAATTATTTTAAATTCTCCCTGATGTACAGGGGTGTGCTTGTGCATGCACACACTTTGACTCACACAGATGAGATGGAGAAAATTGGAGAAGGAATAGTCACGCTGCCTGCCTGATACAATGAAGGATGGCAGGAATGGAAGGCTGCTGTCAGCTCTGAATTATTTGCATTTCATACCTTGTGAGACCAGCTGTCCTTTCTTGTGTTGCTTTATCTGGGATCTCCCAGTCCTTTTGCCAGAAATGTTTCTGGTTGTAGTTATGGGTAAAATGATTCCTTTAGCATTTATTTTAAATTATTCCTTAGTCATCCTCCTTAGTCATCCTGCAGCATTAAGTACTAAGCCATCAGGTCCCTCACAGCTAGCAGTCACTGAAGGCCACAAATCTTTGCTCCCTCAGCACTAAGGCAGCTCCTTGTAGGCATCTCTGGACATATGTGTGCTTGCTCGAATCTTTGGATAGATTTGTACTTGCCTGAAGCAATTGTGGAAAACAAACAAACAAAAAATGCTGTAGACTTGTTTGCTGCTCAGGCAGCTGATTTGGGCATCAGCCATGGAGATGTTTGCTGAAGCCCTGTCAGTGCTCCTGGAGTGGCACTTAAAGCCCATGTTTTAGGTACTTGGTGCTGGGGAGAGGACTTGCTGGCTCAGAGGGATTACTCCCTGCAAAGGAGATGGTCCTAGGCCTCAATGGGAGAGGGGAAGGCCATTTACAGAGTATATGTGGGCAGTAGTGGTCATGGGACATCCATGACCAGTAACTGATGTGTGTGAGGAAGGCGTGGGGCAGATAGGGGTGAAAGAGCAGGACAGCAGCAGGAAGGACATGGCTCTGTCCCCTGCTGCCAGGCAGCGCAAGGCCAGGGCTGCGGTTGGGTGACAGGGCAGTTGGCAGGAGGTGCCACCCACCAAATCCAGTGGAGAGCAAGAGTTTCCCAGAGGGAGGCATTTTGTCCTTTTGGTAGCTTCTAAGGAGTGTGTCTGGGCTAAAGGGTCTTTTCCAGTCCCTTCGTGTGAAGTATAGAGCAAGGCTTCACTCTGGGGATATGTGGTGTTTTTCCTGGTAGAGTGTGAGCTGTGAAGCTGTTTAGGAACTGAGTGAATACCACTTGTGAAAACTGATTGGTGTGAATTGGGATCCAGTTTGTTGTATCTGGCTTGGGATGATTTTTGCTTTATTTTTGGGATGTGGAAGTGGAAAAGAAAGCCAGGTTAGAAGAGAGCCTAGCAACAGATGTCTGCAAATACAGCAGAGAAACTTGTACTGGCAAGCTGGTTGCCCTCAGGACTTCAGAGTCCGTATCCTTTTCCAGTTCTTTTTTTTGGAAAATAATAAGAAATCAAGTTCCCAGAGTCCCTGCAAGCCTGTGGTTACTGCAGTTCAGCTTCCTCCTAGCTGTACTTTGTGCTCATGCTTCCTCTTGAAGGGCTTCAGTCTTGGGCTGCATAAGTAGAAATTTAAATGTAGGCAGTAATGCCCATCCTGTGACATGTATTAACATCCCCTGAAGAAGGGAAAAAGCAGTGATCTCAGTCCTAAAGGAAAATGACTAAGATGCAGGGGAAAAAAAAATGTGTTTTAACTGGATAATGTTATAGTCCCCTAGACTGTCCAGTGGTCAATGATGCTGCAAGCTGCTGGGCCACGAGGGAATGGACCCTTCCATTTCCATCTCAGAAACAGCCCTCTGTGTTTCTGCTCCTGCATTAATGTTTAAGACACCTTCTGTGACAGATGGGGTCTCTTTTATTCCTTTGTCTCCTTATGATCAGAGCTAGTTTGCAGCAAGCTGTGGTAACTGAGGCTGCTCCCCTTTGGGCTGGGAGCCCCCTCTGTGCCCCCAGCAGAAGGGCTGCTGCAGCTGCTGTCGCACGGGCTCACTGTGCAAAAGTCCCTTTGGCCTCCTGGCATGATCTCGTGTGGTCCCTGGGCCTCTTGTCCAGTGTTTAAGTAGCAGCAGCACAGACTGGATTTAGGATAGTGGAGTGGCAGGGGGCAGGTGGCGTGGGGTTGCGTTGCTGCAGGTGGGCAAGAGCGCACGTTTTACTGCACAATCACATGGAATATGTTTTGTTTCAGTTACAAGGTGTTTAGGAAGAACACGGTGTATTGGGAAAGCTGGACACTGCTTAGTCACATTCCCGCAATGTTGGACGTGGATATATTGAAATATATTGAAATTTCTGGTACCAGGAGCTGGTAGCCAACTTCCTTGATTACAGTCAGCCTAGGCTGAAAACAAATTTCCTTTAGGGGAGTACAGCCCCAGACAGCTGGAAAAACAGGCTGAAATTTTGGTCCCATTCGTTTTTAAGGGCCTAGATTTTTCTCAAACGTTGAGGGGGAGACACACTGTCCTTTTCTCTTGTTAAGCATTGTAAAACTCTCACCATTTATGTCAAGTACAAATTTATATGACCTCACTAAAGTCACTGTCATAGTAAGCATTTGTACCAGATCTAATGTTGATTCTTTACACAAAATACAGAAAATCTTTTTTGAAAGTTTTTTTTTTTTTTGGTATGTTCCTTGAGGCTGCAGGAGAATGATCTGTCACTGTGTGGCGCTGTGCTACACATTACTTGCTGCTCTGATGTATCAGCCAGGCCTCCTTGGAAATGGCTAACAGGTGTTAATTACAGACATTACTCTCCTTTAGGTTCCCTGTAAAAGCTTTTTTATGCCCATTCTATTACTTATTCTCTTTGTTTTATACAGTCCATAAAGTACTCTGCGCTTTATTTTTTTCTGTCTAATTAGGGCTGTTAGATGTTGCTGTTGCTCCCCTCCTGGGATGTAATGGGGCCGGATGTGTCTGGCCGAGCAGCCCCAGCTCCAGTTCAGAGGCACCCAGAAAGGCGGATGCTTCTCTGCAGCACTGAGCCTGCAGGGTCCAGACTAGAGTTACTGCTCTAAAGTGACTTTGTCCCTGAGTGGTATTGGCCTGTGTCATGACAGAAGTGGAGTGGTAATTTTGATACCTTAGCTCCTGTGCCTCAATGTGTGGAGGTTTGTATATGGCAAAAATGAAATTTTTGGGGAAGTGCAGATATTTAACTTTGTTTTACTGGCTTAGGCAGATTCTGGTCTTCAGAAGGGTGTGGTGGCATCCTGATTTCATCAGGACCATCTCATCTCTGCCTATTCCTATTATGCTTAGAAAGTACTATGGGTCTTGCCTGACCAAAGCTACAAATTGCTTGGATGTGGAAAATGGCACTAGGTCTGGGCTGATGCATCAGCGACTGTGACTGTTTTCTCTACAAGTAGAGAAAAAAAGTCAAGTTTGTTTAAAGAGGCTGCCGCACATATTTGAATCTGCATGACCCTGAGATGAGCTCAGCATGGCTTTTTGCTACTCCAGAAAGGCTTCTAGCTGTTCCAGGTGACTTGCATTGCTTAGCTTCTAATGGTGCACCTGGTAACTGCCAGGGAAGTGTCTTGCTGTACACTTTGCCATTGATTTGACCCTCCTTGCTGCTGTTAATGATAATATCCAAGTCTTACAGATCTTTTTTCTGCAGGTCAGAAACGAGAGACACTGCCATTGTGCACCCAGGTGCTGTCTGCGTAATAGTGAGGTTGCTGCCAAAGTTGTACAAAGAGGGTCACTCTCAGGTGAGTTCTGTGCACATATCAGTGTCATCTGAACAGCGTCTGCTGCTTCTTCTGTGGCTTTGCTTTAGAGAACTATTTTCTCTTTGCAGATGTGAATACTAAAATTCACGTAGTGGCAGGAAGAACAGCGCAAATTTCATTGTACTCAGGCAAAATAAAAAGTGCTAGGCATCAATTTACTAAGCATTTATTTGTCCAATGCAGTGCACTGATTTTGTCCCAGGACACTTGCTGCAGTGGCACAAGTGTGGGGTGCATTTTGGTTCCATTTTCACTTCCAAGTTAGGACACAAGGATCAGATGGGAGCATGGGAAATTACTCTTTTTTTTTTCTAAAGCAGAACAGTTTATTTTGTCAGGATGACTGGGGGAAAAAATGTGAAATAATCCTGGCAGAGTGTTCTCTTCAGCTGTATCATGATATTGTGGGAACTGTTGTCCCCTGTGTGGAGAACAGACTTGCAATGTCAGTCCTTCACTAGACATATCCGTTCTGAGCAAGTAAATTGTCTGTGTTCTGTCTGCTGTCTTCTCTAAGGAAGCTGAGTGCAGTTGAAGTATAATCAGAAGGATTGAAATAAATGAGTTTATTTACCCAAAACTATGGAAGGTAGGAGTGTAACTAACTGTTGGCATATCCCAAATCTGTGTAGCAGAAGGAAGGCAGCAGCTATTGAAGTTTTGATAATTAGAGTAATGAGTTTCTGAAAAGGAGAAAAAAAAAAAGTATAATGATTGATTGAACGAGAGAGGGAATCATCAAGAAAATGACTGTATTAAAGTTGGCTCTAGAGCTGAGCTAGATGAGGGGAAAAAAGCATTTCAGATCCTCAGTAGATGGCAGTGTTCTTAAAAATATGAAGGTTTAGAGCACAAATTCCAACTGCCATACTTGTCTTTCTCTGTTCTTATTAGTTGGCAAAGAATTATTACTGACGATACTTATTTAGTACTGCTGTTGTAAATGGAGGTGCTCCAGGTAAAATGGGACCACTGTCACGAGTCAGACTCTAAGTAAGTGTTAACCCATGTTCTGAGCTACAAAAGGGATAGAGGAATTAATAGCATAGAGAAGCAAAATCACTTGAGTAAAGCAATGTCAGTAGTGGAGAAAGGAACATAATCAGTGTCTCAAAGATTAACTCCCAGCCACTGTTAGCTACAACAAAATAAAACCGTGCAGTTGAAATTCTCACTCCAAGCTAACAAGATCAAGTGTATCAAACATTCTGTTTTTATCCTCTTGCTTCCAGATCAGGTTTTTCTGTGTAAGCTTTATAACCTTCTAATGTCCTTGATATGCTGTCCTCCCACCCAGAATCAGTCCAGGTCATGTGCAAAGCTGTTGCTTTCACAGAAATGGCATTGAGGAAGCTCTGCTTTTACAGAAACATTTACGGAACTCAATAAAATTTTTGTACTTTGATTCTGCTGTGTAGAAATAATATCGATTTCCTGGCAAATTTACTGGTTCTTGATGACCTTTACCAAACCCAACAGTGGCAGCTTGCAGTAACTGAGTGTATCAGCAGCCTAGGAGAATTACGCAGTAAAACAGATGGTCTTGCACTTTTCTTCTAACTATTCAGAATGACAATTAAAAACTGAGAATAGATTTGTGGTTGTATAGTGCTGCCATTCCTAGATATGATCAAAAATCATTTGAATGTCAAATGCAATATGAAAACTTGCTGAAGCCTTAACACCTGCTTCCCCTGCCAACAAAAGGCAGCCTTTTAGTCAGTAAATGGTATATGGAGGAGACTCTTGTGGGCACGTGTGTGTCTGGTACTTCTGCAAACTCAGCCTGTTCTCATCAAATTGAATGCATGTTTCAAAAGCGACATGCAAGTGAGGCTAGCTGTGTAAGTCAGGGCATTTACAGAAGGAAGTTTAAGTTTTCAGTGCATGAGAATGTGTGTTTTAACTTGAAAAAAAAAAAAACACCACTGCACAGTGGCAGAGAAGGATGTTTGTCGTGTGAAATGTGTCACTATTTAGGTATTTATTACTGATATCATGGCTAATATAACTGTTTACACCATATTGTGTTCCTAATGACTGCAGTGCCCTGCTTGAGAATTGCATTCTTCTGCTGGGGAATTCCTCAGGTGTTTGGCCAGAGCTTCATTCATTAGTGAAACTAAATGTAATTTGGTGAATGAGATGTCAGGCCACCAGAGACAGTTAGTGAAATGATTCTTAACGTTATGAAGAGATTTTTTTTTGCCTGGCCTCAAAAAATGTTGCAGACCTGGTAGTATGTATCCTCTTGAATATATTTTCTTGCACAAAAGTGGTACCAAGGAGAAAGAGATGAAAAGCCTGGAGACAATATAATGTGGGACAGTCAGGTAGGCCTAAGCTATGCACATAAGTTCTTGGAAAAAAGTCAGTTGATGCAGTTTATAGTGCTTATTTCTTTTTACTTAGAAGGAACACGCAGATACTAGTTACACTGTATTATAAAACCCAATTATGCATACAGTCAATAAAGTATAAGGCTAGTGGATGAGAGTTGATTAAGAAAATACTGTGATAGAAAGTGAATGTGCTTGCAACTGGGAATTGTGTTTGTGTTCTATTTTCCTGTACTTGGGAAAATCTTTTTCCTGTATTCAGGAAATGCCATTTGACAGTAGCAATTGAAATCGAGTCATCTGGAGATTTTTGAAAATGTTATTCTCTATGCCTCAATCTTTTTCCATAAATAAAATTAAATCTGTTTTATGTTAATTGAACTAATTTTCTCTAAAGGGCTACTAGCTTTTCAGGGGAGAGGTGCTCTGAAATGGAAAAGTAAGTCTGCTTTTCGTGGTTGCACACAGAATTGCTGCTTTATCAGGCTTAAACCTGCAACTGCATGAAGTAGACCCCAGCCACCAGTAGTTCAGGGTACTTGCCCATCGTAAACATAGTATGATCATTTGGAGGAGTAACAACAGTGACATAAATTCAACTACTGAGTTCTGTATGGGCTCTTAGGGGCAAGAATCTGGGAACTACTTAAGCAGATTAGGCCAATTGCTAGAAGACACTTTACCCTGAGACTCTACTATCAGACAGAGCGGTGAGTCCAGCTCCATTGTAATTGTACCTCCAATAGCCTGATCCATAGTGCAAGTAACGTGTGTTAGGAAAATCAATGCATGTATATAGGAGCACACAGCCTGGTTTCCTGGCCACCATTAATATTTTCACTAAAATCCCATTTTACTGGAACTAAGATTCCTGAAAACAGCACAATTTATTCAAAACAACACTGTACTGTTATTGACAGAGCTGCTAAGCTAATGAAAACAATCAATTTTGTGTATTCCATTATAGTTTTATTGGATTTATCTCACTGAGTTTGTCAGCCAAGATTCTATCTTCTTCTATTTTTTAATGATTTTATATCTAGATCCTTTCCTACATCCAGTAGAAAATAGAATAAAACAATGATCAAAAGATCCAGAAACATAAGTAAGATTTTGACATGCCATAGAAATAAGTACCTCTCCTGGAAGGAGCATAATGAATGTTTAGTCTGGGGGAGGATCTCTGCAATGACACGTTCACTAGGAATGAGCAGTCACTGAGATAAAAGGCTATCCAAAAAACCTCGTCTTTCAGACATAAAAACTACAGCTGTTTTTACCAAAATGAATACATGTTGTTGTAAGTGTTACCTGTGAGTCTTTTGGCTTCTGGACACTTTGAAAAGAAATTGCTGAAAGGTTTTGGATTTGCACAGTTTTGAGTGAGTTTTGTCTATGTCATCAAAGAGGTGAATCCCTTTTTACACGTAATATGCTAACTTTTTCAGAATATAATTTTCTCATTTATATTATAAAATCAAATTCCAAATTCTGACATAATCTGCTTGTCTGCCATCATAATTCTTGTCTTTAAAAGGGGAGATGGACAGCATTGGATCCTAATCAGATTTGAGGGCTCTATTCCTAAGTGGGGACAAATTGCTTTAAAGATAATTTGTGAAAATTCAGATACTTTAAGATCCTCAAAAAAACAGTAGCGCTGCAGGTTAAGCAAGAGTTTTAGGATTTTTATACATAAGAGTTTGTTTTAAAGCTATTTTTAAAGCAAAGGCTAGATGAGGTCCACATCTAGATGTGCTTCATATGAAACACATTGTGAGTTACTGTGCTCTCCTTGGGGCTTATGCCTGATAACCTGCCTTTGGTGGAGATCCCCTTTTCTGCCTAAGGGCTGATTGCTGCCCTCTTTCACTGCACTGGCGTTTTCACAGGGGAGCTCAGCTGTGGGTCAATGAGCAGTTACTCAGATGTAGCTTTATCCAGACGGTTCAAAGGTAGAGTTTTATGGAACAGTGATGCAGTTGCACTTGAAACTATTCAAGCGCATCCTAGAGCCTCCTTCTCTGGGACAGATTTTTACATCCAGAGATCCAGCAATAAATAATGGGGGGGGGGGAATGGAAAACAATCACCATTACAGTACAGTTGTAGTTCCAGCTACAACTTGCCTGTGTCTGTTTCAGCTTTCTCAGGAAATCCAGCGTGCTGTGGCTGACCACATCCTGTCCCTGGTGAAGTCGGAGAAGAGCCGCCAGGTGCTGTGCGGCTCTGGCTTACTGAGCACTATGCTCACGTCCTGTCACGATGCCCTCCGCGATGAGAGCCACCCACTGCATCTGCCCCTCACTAGGGTATTTGAGAAACTTGCCTCCCAGGCTATTGAGCCAGATGTGTTAAGGTATCAGAGTGCATTTAATGGAATCATTTGGTTTAGTGGTGTCTCACTGAGCTAAGACAATAGGCTGCCTTATAACTAGACAATGATCAGTGTCCCGATTCAGCAAGACACTTGTTTCAGTTAATTGTTCTTGCATTATGATAATAAGGTGTATATGCTTATATTACTTGAATCAAGTACAAGTCTGTACTCTGCATCCTTTCTGCAAGTTTGCAAAGCCATTTTCAAATAGCAAGTAATTAAGTAACTGCAAAACAAGTAGAATTCAGCATTATTCTCTCCTGGTCTTCATTGGAAGATTGGAGAAGCAGATCCATCAAGATTGAAATGACTTTCTCTTAGTCCTGATGTCAGAGACAGACTCAAAAGTAGAAAATATGGTCTAGTTTCTCAGTCTGTTGTTCTGTCTTGAGATTGTGCTTTCTCCTTTAATGATAATGAATGGTAGGCATGAGAGTACCTGTTGAGATCCGAGTGAAGGTATTTGGATCGGGATATTCAGTGAAAATCTGGAAAGTTTATTTTATTAAAAAAAATGGAACAGAACTCCATATTAAAAGATCTGAAAATCCTATTTTTTTTTAGTGTGGCTGAAAAACTGGAGGCTTTTTTCCTCCCCTCACACCCAGTAAAGAAAATAGGTCTCCAATGAACAAGTTTGTCTCCTGGGGGGGCTGAGCTGTATTTTCCCAGTTCCTAGGGCTCCCAAATATCTTGTCTTACTTGGGAGGTTTGTGGGGGATGTATGCTTGTTTGTTTGTTTTTGTTAGACGATTTCTTTGGCTGGGAAGTTCTCCACCAGTAGCTGTGAGGCCTTGCACAAAGACTAAGGTCCCCTCATGTGAAGGGAGTGATTCAGCTGAAGCAGCCAGGAATGAAGGTAAGTAAGCAATGGACAACCTGTTACTGGTATCGTGCTTGGGCTATAAAAATCTGTGTAATTAAAGGAAATTACTGTTGGAGTTGTTCCAAGCCAGTCACAGTGAAAGTGGATTATGCCTGAATGTTTTGGACCAGGTACCAGGTAGAGCTGCCTCTAGATCAAAACTGAGAGATAATCTGATGACCAGCAGAAATGAAATCATAACATTTTACTGGAGCCAAATGCTGAAATAGATTCAAACTTCTCAGGACTGGAAGTGATCTATAAAAACACTAATTGTGTTCCACAAACCACTGGGAGTGTCCCTGCATTTGGATCACATTTTCCCTTTTTGTTTGTAGCTGGAAGTAGGGTGTGTGTCCATAAAAAGCACCACTAATTATACTTCCTTTGATCTCCTGAAAGTCTGCTTTGCTCATATGGACCATGTGCCCTCCCTACTTGTTCTCCACTGTAACATTTTGTAGGAGCAGAGAGTATGTCACACGTATAATGTCCTCATGGCTTGTACACGTATCACGTCCCTTGCATGTTCTCTGCAGTCACTTTCAGATCCACTTTCATGTGTTGATTGTAACCCTTTGGTTACGGCACAATTGAGTGGTCTGTGTGTGCGAGAAAAGTGAGGAGAGAGGGAACGAAACTCCTTTAGTAAAGGTGGTGATTGCAACTGCCTGAATCTTTTTTAAAAAAATCTGTTATTTCTTTTTTAAGTTCCATCTCTCCTGTCAGCTGCTTATTCAGAGATTGTTTCAGGACACTATTTGGTTTATTGCTGAGGGACTTTGCAGGCTGCTGGGGGTTGGGGTTGCTCAGGGTGTGTTAGCTGAAAGGCCAGTGCCTCATGTAATGTTGGTTTTTTAGCAGTGATGTGCTGAATATGGGCAAAGACTGCAGTTAAATGTGCTGGTGACCCTGGTTTTGCTATGTACCGTATTGATCTTGTAGGTTTGGAAGTGGACATGGTGGACACTAAAGCTGCTCCTCAGAGGGCCGTGCCTCTCAGCAGCTCCCCTTGGGTGTATAAAGGGTCTGCACTGGCGCTGCAGACTGCCATGAGTCTCATCTCCATGACATCACCACGAAACTTCCAGCTCCACAGCGCTGCTTTGGCCCCATCATTTGTGGAGTTTGACATGTCCATGGAAGGATATGGGTATTGTTACTGTTACTTTTCTCCTGAGTTGTTTGCAGTGTCTCCCAGCTCTTAACCGTACACACAGAAACTAGTCACTACTCTCTCAGGGTGATCAACCCTTGTGGCCTACTGCTGCCTTCCTTGCAGCCATGTTGCCAACCTGTTTAGCCCAGAGAAAGTCTGTGGTTGTCTTGTTGCTGATAACTGGGCTCTGCTTTTCTACCTTGATTCTTCAGGGGTGGACTTGTAAGAAGAGCACAGAACTGGGTCAGTGGTGACCTACAGGAATGATTTTATGTTTCTGCTGAATGGATGCTTGCTTGCTTTTGTAGGTGTCTGTACTTCCCTACCTTGGCCACTGTCATGGGCCCCAGTGCTGAGCAGTCTGTCTCAGGAGGAATTGGCATGGGTAAGCACTCTGGCTCACATATAGACTTCTGAAAGCTAATTCCTCAATCCCGATGCAGTTATTCAATGTTTGTAAGGAATGGCAGCAACTAAGTTGTGTTATTCAACATTATTCCATCTTGTTGTCCTAGTGCAGCTCTGCGTTATCTAACTTGAACTGCTCAGCAAGATGCAGCATCAGATGAAGCGTATGTGTATTAGCAAAATAAATTTAAAGCAGACACTGAAGAAAACTGTTTTAACAAGTGAAGGCCACCAGAGTTTAGGGTAGTCTCCCAGGGAACCAAAGGAAACTACGTAACATTAGATGGAATTCTCCTGTAGTTTGAAAACTTCAGTTATATGAACTGGGATACAGCTACTCATGCTGTACATCTTGCTTCCAGAACTTTCTGGACTCTGAGGAAACTTGTTTCCATTTTTGGTTCAGTGCTACACAGCGGTGAGGTCTGTGGCATGGAGATCTAGTACTTATTACTTGCCAATCCATTCTAGATCACTTAGATCTGCATGTACTCTCACATGGACTCTGTGAAATAGAATAGGAATTAAAGCTCTTTAATGTTTCTAATGTTGATTCTTATATATTTGGGCTACAGATAAAACAGCAGGCAGCTTGCTAATATCTTGCATGAGGGAATTTGCTTTCTCATTGCTGATTTTTTTTTTTTTTTTTTTTCCCCCCTCCCCTCTACAGGCAGCAGAATGTTTCCTCCCCTGAGCGGACTCACTCTCTCCTCCTGGTTTCTGGTTAATAAGTTTGGTTTGTTGCACAACGGTCACCCACTGCGTTTTCTCACTATCGTGAGGCACATGTCAAGAACAGAGCAAGAGTTTGTCTGCTTTTCAGTGAGCTTTTCCCCCCAGGAGCGTTCCTTTGTTGTTTCCACAGAAGAAGTGGAATTCCAGCCACTTGGTAAGGCTTTTCTCTCATTCTGGCTTCAAGGTTGTGTCCTGTGATGGTCTGGAAAGTTTCATTAACAAATTCACTTAAAAGGACCCAGGACATTAATGAGACTTTGCATCTTTTCAATTGCCTTCTGGCAGCCTGTTATGACTGTAATCCTTGGTCACGTTTCAGTTTTACGTTTGCTGTAGGCATTGAGAATTATTTTATACACTGCAATATGTGATAAAACTTGTAGAAGGTGTTCTAGAAACACCCTGGATGTCAGCTGTATGCCTGTGCATAGCTGTGGGAACTGGATTTGAGGAATCACTTTGTCCCTGTCTATTCTCCGTGGTAGTGGGTAGATCAGAAGATTTGAGTGCTCTAGCTTCCTAATTGAACAATTGGTTTTCTCTTCTCATTTTTAGAAGGTTTTTTTTTCCTCAAGGCCAACCTATTACTTTTTGTTCCTTGTTGATGTTTATCCTTTTCCCATTATCAAGCATAGTAGATATTTTAAATGTGGCTGTGATTCAGCATTGCAGAGGAGGTTGAGAATGGAAAGGGAATTGTAGCTAGTTTTCATGCACTGCTGACATTGTGTGTGCTCTTATTCCCTTAGATGAAGTTAAAAATCCCAGCTTTCTTCTTTTCATATAATTACAAAAAATATGTGGAGTTTTATCTTTTCATTAATTTACTAGGAATTTCTTTGTATCAGATAAATATTTGGAGGGCTTCTCTTCTGAGAGCCGAGAACCAGAGACTAGACTGGCTTTATCTTAGCTTAGTCTAGTTTTACAGCTACAGGTAGCTTAGCAGGTGGTTTGGGAGAATATGACTCATTTTATATGGAGGGATGTTGGGAATTATCCAAGTAATATTATAGTAGACTTCTCGGAAATGTTTTAAAGGCATTGAATGGAACAGTATCAGCTAATACTATGTCCACAAACAAATCATGTTTCTTTGGTGTCACACTTGATAGTTGCCTTCCAGAGGCAGTGGAAGGTGAAACAGAAGTCCCAAACTTTCCAGTAACTGTCACTTGTTTTTTTTCATCTTATAGATATCATGGAACCTGAGAGCGAGGCCCAGAATCACTCCCTGGTTCCAGGGCAAGTCCGGTTTGGCTGTGGTAAGATGCTGGTCACTGGCCAGTGGCATCATCTCACAGTGACAGTTGCTAAGGAAGCAAAGAAGAACTGCACTGTGTCAGCGTATTTAAATGGTCAGACGCTTGGCTCTGCTAAGGTAAATGTTTCTGCATAGAGCTGTGCCTGATAGCTGGGCATTTGCTGTTGTTCCCCTTCACCTTCCAATATCTTTTCTGTGTAAACATGAGGGACCTCAGAGTAGTGATTAGTTAACATACAATATACCACACTGCATTTAAGTGGAGTCAGAAATCCATACATATCAGGATATATTTGTGTGACTATTCAAAAGCATGATGTCAGTTTATACTGATGCTTTGAACTTTGATTTTTTCTTTTTTTTTTCTTCTTTTATTTTTTCTATTGCTCCATTAGTATTCAGTGGATAAGATTGCTCATGCATTATTTTTTTAGAATATCAAATAGATGCAGGTTTAAGAGAAAACTTGCCAATTTCAACAGTACCAGCTTATCAGTTCATTTCAAATATTGCAGTAGCTCCTATTTTCCCCAGTGTTTCATTTCGTGCAGTAATCTTGCACAAGAATCTCAGCTCTCACATGGAAAAATCATGAATTAAAGCTTTCTTAGGCTGCTTGAGAAACAGCGAGAAAGACGTGCAAAGGCTCAGACACATGAGAAGACAAAGGAGCACATAGTTTAGTGTTATCATCATTATGCTCATGGTTTTGAAGCTGATGTATTATTTCTGAGATTGTTTTATAGGCTGTGTGTGTTTTGTACTTCCCAAGTAAAAGCAACCTGTTTAATTCCAAATATTCTCTTTCCCATACTTGAGAAAAATGATCTGTCTTCTAAATGCCTTTTGGGACCTATATCCATTCCAAGAATGAAAATTTAATTTAATTTGCCTTCCTTCAAATGAGACTGAAAGTCATCAATAAACCTAGTCCTAAGCATCGCAATTGATTAAAGAATTCACAGCAAATGTGTTTAACATATAGTGAAACAGCTCATAATAAATAAAATAAATGTTTACTAAATAAAAGATGGTCCCACTGCTAAGGTCTCTGACATGATACAAGTACTCCTGACATGTACAATGAAGGGAAATTAGAATTGCTCAAAGGTTGTTAACAGATATCAAGAGCTATTCTTGGTGGGGTAGAGAGGGGGTGAAAGGAGGATTTCCATGGTGCATCAGACATTATATTTATTCATTCTGATGTAGACTTCTGCCTCCCAGTACTGACCACATTCTATATCTCAGCAGTCAGAGATGGTTAAATGCTAGGAATCTCTCATAGTAACAGCAAATTTTCAGAACCTGTACTAAGCTATGAAGTACAGTATAGGTCATCTCTTCCAAGAAAATTCTTTTTACTCTCTACAAGAGCTCTTCACATTTAGTATAATAGTAGGCTCAAGTCAGCAGGCTGAGTCCTTACTTTGATACCAAAAATAAATGGTCTTATTTCCTGAAGCCAAGGGCAAGGCAATGCACAGTTCAATAGGTTTCACTAGTGTTTGTCAAGATGTTGCTTTGGTTAAAGTCAAGCTTTTGAACGTTGACAGATTACTGCCTTGTCAGCACCAGTTCTGAGGAGATTCCCTTAAAAAAGAGCAAAGCTGGGCAGTCTCTCCTCTTAGCTTTGATCTGTCAAAAGAACTGTTTTTTTCAGCTTTTAACTTGGTCTGAAGCCCTGTGCACAGCTAATTGTGAAGTTTCCATCCGGGAAGGAGGTGGACATTAACGTCCAGGGGTGTGACCTTAAGGCACAGCTAATTCAGTGAGTTCTTTAAGTGAATTTTTGCTCTGTTGCAGATGCAGTACATGCAGCCCTTACCAGGTAGCTGTATTTCCATGGAACCCTCTTCCTTTATTGATGTCTATGGGTACATAGCTACTCCTCGAGTTTGGAAACAGAAGTCCTCTTTGACCTGGCGCCTTGGCCCTACATACCTATTTGAAGAAGCCATCTCTGTGGAAACTGTAGAGTTGATTAATAAGCTTGGCCCACAGTATTGTAGCAATTTTCAAGCAGCACAGCTTCAAGGTATGCGGTAACTCTGATCTCCAGCACTGTTTGTTTGCCAGGATGATGTTTTTATTCTTAAAATCTGTTATTAATGTTCCATCTGTGCCTAGTTGGTACCTAAAAGTATGAAACTCTGGGTCATGTACAGGTGCGCAGAAGAGGAATAAAACATCTTTGACTGCAAATGCTCTGGAACAGAAGAGAGGTAGGGGAATAAGTTATATTCCATAAATAAAGTGTATTTTTAGCTTCAATTATTAAATAGGTTGAGAAAACATTTTAGTTATTGATAACTATTCCACAAGCAGTGCATTCACTTCTGTGCTGGAACTCATGCAACCTAAAGCACAGTGAGAGGACTGAGAGAACTCCTTCGGAATGCTGTCTATCTAAACAGAAATACTCCCAAGTCAGTCATCAGGGACCTTTTGAAAGAGAAATGATATCACAATACAGCCCCAAAATGAGAATAGTACTCCTTTTGAAGTGTTGAATCTTCATGATGTCAGGGGTAATTGTTCTCCTCTGCATCCTGGGTTCCCCACCTGGACTTCAGTGCTTAAATTGTGACTCTTGGACTCTAGTAATGCATTGTGGCAGGGAAGTCATAGGGCACTATAAAGGACACGATCTACTACTTGTGAAAACACTTCAAATGTGAAATGCTTTAAACAGGCGCAAGTCTACTCTTCATTCTCTCTTTGACAGTTTCTTAATTTCTCTCCCAGGTATGGCATGTTGGCTTTTTTGCTATTTTTTGAGGATTTTTTTTTAATCTCCTTATTCCATTAACATATTACCTCAAAATATTACGGTTTATTCCTTAAAATGGAGTAATGGGTTTATGGGCTTGTTGTGGAGAGCAATTTGCCTTGTTTCAGCACCATTTTGCCCTTTTGAAACAGCAACAACCTTAGGCATAAATAAGTGTCCTGCTGGAAGGAAAATAAATGACATAGGCTCAGGGTGCTTCTAATAAACACAGAAAACATGCTAATTCTGTTTACATTTAAAGGCTATGGTACTACCATTAGTAAAACAGTTTCATAAATCAACAGCTCTCCTAGTCTATGTAACTGCCAAAAATGAGATTAAAAAGGTATATTGTGTTTTTATTTACCTTGTAATGAAAACGGAAATAAAAAGTTATTTAAATAAAAGCATATGAAAATGTCATGCCATCACCAAACTGTTGAACCTCATACTTCTTAGAACCTTTCCGTACGTTGTGAGTTGGCAGCTGGTAACTTCAGCCTCTCTATTATTTTTCTTCCACATGAGGAGAGCACTCAGTCACTTCAAAGGTCTCTGAAATATTTTTTCTGCCCAGACTGTTTGCATTGTGTGGACAAAGAAAGTTTTGTTCTGGACACTTCTGAGCTTCGTGAGAGTTGAGGTTGTAGGATCTGTGCAGAGTAGTCTCCAGAGGAGACGAGCCCAGCATATTTCGCTAGTGTTTATGCTGACAAGCTGCTATGGTACGAATTGCAAAGAGTTCACCCTTTTTTTCTGATTCTAAGTCAAAATCAATCTCCTTTTTCAACTTTTGTTTCTTACAGTAATTTTTCAGCTGTCCCTCTCCTATTTCACAAGCTGACCCTGTGAATTTCCTCAAGAGGTTTATAATGTCTCTTTATTTAGGTGAGGACCAGTACACTGAGCGTAATCCTGTACTGCTGGTGGGAGAAGAGAGGATTTCTTTTGGAATCAATGCCATGTGCTCATCTTTCACTACAGTCCAAGATGTAAAGAGCTCCTACAGTGAAGTGGATGGTCGGCTGATTGCCAAAGAGGTCATATGATCCCCACGTTTGTCTTTAATGTATCTCTTGGGTTTGTTTGTTTCTATGAGCAAAGTTTGTGGCTTTCTCTTAGCTTCTTACTCTTCAGTGTTTTTTCAGTTTCTCCAGTTTCTTAATTACATTGTAAGCATCATTTTGTTAGTCTGTGATGAGGAGTAGATTGGACAGTGAACACAGTGTTAAGAGCCTTTCTTGACACAGCAACAGAAGCCATAGTTTTCAGATTTAAGGATGCTTCATTGAGTCAGTTATTCTTTACAATGTGTTACCCCTACATAATAGACATTTCACATACAATTTTAGCCATCCTGCCAATACCAAGCCTACTCTTGAAGTATCAAACGTGGTGGGGCTTGTGAAATGGTCCAGGTAGGTGAATGCTGGTCCCAAAAATGAACTTTGAGGGTTAAAAAAAAAAAAAAAGGCAAACTTGTCTTCATCTTCAAAAAAGCATTTTTGCTTATTACTTTCTGCTTTTCCAATACTTCTATGGCTTTTTCTAGGATGTATCTTATCTGTTTTAGATGGGAATTAGTTCTCGGGACAGTTCAACTCCAATTTTCCTGGCTAAGAATATCGCTGGACATCTCTCAGGTGTCTCCCGGACTATAGGATCTGTTGCTGTGGGCCAATATGGTAAAAGAGCTCTACTTTACTCATAATAAAGAGTTGGGCTTATCTCTGCTCTGCTGAAAACAGATTTAGTCTGTGCAGCTTCTTGGTTGAGTAACTCTGTAATTTCTTAGGAGTAAGAGTGTTCCAGTCCTCACCAGCAGCTACTAGCCTGAACTTCATTGGAGGCCCTGCCATTCTCCTGGGTCTCATTGCTATGGCCCGTGATGACCACACCATGTATGCAGCTGTCAAAGTCCTGAACTCCATCCTGAAGAGTAGCCCAATGAGTGAAAAATTGATGAGGCACATGGATGGATACCAGGTAGATTATCTCTGTTCGATCTGGATACAGTCTTATCCCCAAAACAATGGGTGGTAATGAACTGAGCATATCCCAGCTATGAGTGCATTTTATTGTAATTGTGTAAGTTATGGGATCTAAATTCTGTGCTTAAAGTCTCCAGGAAGCGTTGTAATAGTATGCATGCAAACAGGTAAAATGAGAGCAGTTGTTTGTTGTGAAAATGTGGTCCAATAGTTGGAAGGTGTCATGCTTCTAAGAAGGCTACTGTTGAGAATAGTAGTGCAACAGATTTGTGGGTCCCTCCCACAAGAAACCCCTTCTTAGGCAAATGTTCTGCTTCTTCCCCTTGGTTTGTGCAGCCTAAGATTCCTCCTTGCAGACCACCCAGTCTAGCACGAAGAACTACTATGGCTCAGTCTCCATTATTGTGTGTTAGGAATTGTGTTGAGGTAAATACGTATGTCAGCATTTTCAGCTCTATGTTGATTAGGTCTGCCCTAATTTCATCTTTCAGACCTGAAAGCTGTGCAAGCTGAGTTCATTTGGCTCAGGGTTTAGAGGACCAGGGCAAACTTTGTGGGTAATATTGGCGGGATTAAGGCTGAAGCGTGAAGTTTCAATTCAGTGAGTTTGTGAATTGTTCATAAATCAATCCTGATTGCTATGAATATATTTATCGTGTTGAAGTATTACTTGTCCAGTAGCTTTTTTAGGAGAATGTCAGCCTTTGCCCTGTGTGCAGGCTGTTCCTTTTGGCTCCCTGCTTGGTGGTGTTCTCTTAGTGTCACTGATCATCATGGTGCACTGGAGTGATTTTGCTCATTGTTTGGATGTCTGAACTTAGACAGCTAACAAAAATTGCCTTAGTATTAGCATGTTTCTTGATCTATATTTTCAAATTAATGGCCCTTCTAACCTATTGAAAATGTAGTGTTTTTTCTAAGTGTCCTTTTCTTCACTAATAATCAGATGAGGAATTGGGAATTGTCCCAAAAATGTATCCTTTACATTTGAAGAGGTCAACATTTAATTTTTTTAACCAGCACAGTTTCCAAGCAACTAAGAATTCATGCCCATAAAGAACAGTGTAGAGAACCTACTCTGGTTTATATTTGTATTTTGTTTTTTTGTAAATTCTCTTCAGCATAATATACCGTATGTTTTGCTCCCATTCAATGCCGTAAAATTGTCAAATTCTTTTAAGAGTTTTCAGTTTCACATGTTGTTCAAAACTTTGTCCAGACTGAAATATTTACTTTCTTCAGAACACTTGTATGTATGCTGCATATATGACTACTGCTGCCAGTGAACTGTGCATCTGCCTTGGATTCAATAATCACATTCTGTTTTAGTCCATGTGGATTTGTTCTCAGTATAAACTTAATCTTTTTTCAGTTGTTGGCATATCTTTTGAAGAGGAAGACACAACTGTTAAACAACAGGATTTTACAGCTAGTGTTCTCCCTAGCGGGCACAGCAGAACTCGGCTTTGAATCTTCAGTTGTCAAGAATTATAGTGTATTCCAGTATGTTCTCTGCAACTTTGAGGTAAAACTGTAGACATTTTCTGAGTTGAGCTCTGTTAAGGATGGTTTTATAGTGTGAAGTTTGGTTTGTTTGTAACATCTCCTGGATCAGGTTCTTGGGTAAAGTAGTGTGTGATGATGTGCCATACCATGGCTCTTCTGGGGAGGTGATGGCTCCTGGGTGGCTAGAGGAGCACAGGCACCAAGACTCCCTGCTGTGCCCTGATGCAGTTTCTGGGGTGATCCCAAGTGCCTGCTGCTCAGGACTAGTTCACAAGTAGCAACTCCTTGTGCTGCCAGAAGACTTTCCATTGCTTGGTTGGGGATAGCTAGCCTTAAGGAGAAAAAGTCTGTGGCTCTGAATTCCTCTTTTTCCGCCTAAACTTTTTATATCTCTGCCTTTCACAGCCATGAGATCAGGCACCATCCACATCCTCCTTTCTTGTTTCTCCATCCAGGTGATATTTATGATACAAGATGGTTGGAAGTTATTGGGTGTGGGTCTGAAATAAAATCTCCCTGACTTGGGGGTATTTGAGTTTTCTTTAAATGGGGCCCAGTTTAGCTCTATATGTCAGTCTAGACTGACTTTTTGTGTATCATGGACTCTGAGATGGATGTACTTCTTATTGTCCTTTTCTTTTCCCTTCTCTTTCTCTGCTGCCAAAAATATATCTGCTTCTCTGTTGTGTTCCTCCTTCCCAAATTGGAGAAACATTTAATGCAAAAGTAAAAATGTTATTTGTAGTTTTCTTTACAGCACACTGTTGTAGCATAATGTAATCCATGCGCATGTCATTTGCGCAGAGCCTAGAATTCTAATTGTGACAATTCATGATTTTACTGTCCCCAAACTACTTGTTACTGTTTTTCTGTCACAGACCACAATCCCCTCAGCTCAGCTGAACAGTAAATTCTCTGCTTTCCTTTGTCTTTCAGCTTTGGATGTCAGCACCAGAAAATCTTGATCTTGCTCTTTTTTCACATCTTGTGGAGATACTGCAGTCCTCTAGGTATATGCCTGGCATTTAAATCAGAAGCATGTGGAACAAGCTTACCTGATGGAGAGGCTATGTGGTGACCTAGTTTGCATGGAACCAGAGATTAAAGTACAATGAAAGTTAAAATGTGTGCTGCAAAGAAAAAGTCTGAATCTTGCTCTCAATTGAGAATGGAATTTTTCAGATTGTTTTTTTGTAAATGGTGTATATTTAAAAAAAAATCCTCCTGCATTGTATTTTGGTTTTAAAGAACAGTATTCCTTCTTAAACAGTTTTGCTACAGTTAAATGTATCTGAAGAGACACAGTAAGGCAGAATGCCTGAGTGCTACCACCAGCTCACTGCTTAAAAAGACAGTAATGTTCTGTTCTTTGAACTTGCTGAAATGCAGCAATTTCCAGGGGAGAGGACAGATGCTGGATTGGGGTGGGGAACACAAAAAAAAAAGTCTTCAGATCTCCATCACTGACACATATTCAATTTGTCTGATAATGTTTTAGCAGTTGCCAAGGCACCATCAAAAGTCAAAGGTGCAAAGTACCAGTACAATCAGATAATCTTTTTAGCTGTAATGTTGCTAATTTTGTTCTTTCCAGTAAAACCTTTTAATAGGCCCTGTGCTTTTATGCAGAGAAGGGTACCAGAATGCTGAAGTTGCCTATCGGGTGCAAATGGTGCCCAAACTCGTTTTCCTCTTCAATGATGCTGAAATCAGTAACTCCAGGATCACTTTGGCCTGCACTATTCTTTCCCATCTGTTGCAAGGATACTTTAACACACGGGATGTTCTCAGGTAACCTCTATGCCTGCAGCATTTTCTCAGTTTGCAGATGAGTTATTCTCCTGCCTGGGCTGGAGAAAGGTCAAGCAAAACTTTCTTCTTGTCTTTGATAGCAGGCCAAGTCTGACAGCTCCAAGATTCCCACTGGTGAAAGGCTTTCTCATGCCTTCAAAATAGGATTCAGTCCCTCCTTGTATTTGAGTATTAGGTTCCCCTGGGTTAGATGGTGACCTTTACAGTGGTGGCACAAATAGCCCCACTCAGACTTGGTCTACTCAAAATCAGGGTTTCATATTTGCAATCCCGAAGTCTGCCCCTAAAGTATTGTAGGCTCTAAAGTATTGCAATCTGGTTTCAGGGAACTGTGTACCTAATCCTGCTGGCTTCAGTTATATCCTAGTAAATATATTACTCTTGAATCTCAGTGAATTAACATGTTAAGTGGGATCTCACAATGTAAAAAGTTTCAATCATTGTTTTCTCTCCACAGAATGTTAACATTACAGCTTTGTAATCCCAGGCTAGCTGCATCAGTTTGTAGCCTATAGACTGAGTGAGGTCAATACAATGTTTTCTGTAACCATCTAACTCTAGAAAAAGTGCACCATACAGATGACAAGTTGTACTTTTCAAAGCTCTGCATTTGTCCAAAGAAAATGTAAATACCCAGGTTGCACACTGGATGCTTTGGTCTCTGTAGTCATCCCTTTGGCCTATGGAAGGGTGTGAGCACATCAAGAAGCTACTGTGGAATATGGTGACTAGTAACCTTACTGCTTGCCATCTCCTCTGTGGAATTATCTCCATGCATGTTCCAGGATAGGAACTTAGCCAATGACTTAGCCATTTATCCTATTCCTTTTTTTATGGAACTGTAAGTAACCTGGACTTATTATATCAAATTTACCATGTTGGAAGGAGCATGCATAAGCATTTTTTATGAGCGTCTGTTTTTGAAACCTGGTAACTTGCTATTTGGTGGTAATTTGTTTTGTTGTTAGGCCCAAATATGAAAAAGTTGCAACTTTTCGGATAGTTTATTCACCAGTATTTGCTTATTTAGAGCAAACCATTCACTTGGTGTTAAGCAGCGTATGTGGATAATGACAGTCAGTATCTTCCCAGCTCCAGAGGAGCAACAGCAGCACTGAGAGGTGCTGGGGTGCTGGTCACAAACTTTTGGCCCATCTGTTGGGAACTGCAATATGTGGATCATTCCTGCAGAACACACTGTGCTGCAGAAGGTGTGTATGTCATCATCCATGGATTCTTAGGAGCAGGTAATATGTTTAGGCAGAACAAAGATGAAAAAAAGCTGCCAGTCCTCCTCCCTGAGTAGCTGCTGAGGTTTTCTGCTGTCCTGCATGTGCCTGGGCACCAAGGGCTGATCCAGTGACGTGTGAATAACACAAGGAGTTCAGAAACAGCCCCCTCCTCTCAGTAAAGAGAGGTTTAACCCAGCATCGACAGCCCTGTGCTTCAATATTTGTAGACAGACCTTTAAATAACAGAGGTTAAAATAAATGTGAGAAATACTTTGCCATTATAAAACTGATATTACCTGCACATGTAGATGGATATCCTTTTTATTTGCTTCTTGCTTTAACAACTTCTGCATTCCTATTTCAAGGCTGTTCTTACAGCCATTAGTTTCAAGCAGGCATTTTTAAGAAGTGTTGAAATTTGCATGTTATCTCAAAGAAAGAATGAAAGCAGCTTTCATTCTACTGACCAAAATCGATTCCCTCTTTCTCTGGCAGGATTGGATTATTCCTTGTTTATACTTTGAAACCCTCTTCTGTGGATGAAAATCTGATTTGCTTGGATGGTGTGTCTGAGATGGCAAATGAAGGTGAGGAGCTACCTTTGATACATGCGTTCTGATGGGTGGCTAAGTGCTTTTCTTCCCCAGACCATGGTGAACCCTGACTGCACCACAGTGCATCTTCCTTTGGTGGAAGGAAGAGACTTGCTTCAAATGATTTTGTCTGGCAAGATGTGGGCTGCATTGAGGTGACCTGAAATTGCGAGGAAGTCTTGTATTGCCAGAAAGCCCTAATATGAAGGGTGTAAGTGATCCAGGCATATCCAGAAAGGCCTGACTTGCAGCAGGATCTTCCTGCTAAGGAAGTTACCGTGTTGTCCTCTCTCTGCCTACTAGGCCAGCAGTATTTTTACTGCTTTGTCCAGAGATTAGTTTTGTGTGTCATGGACTTGCATTGAGATGAAGGGCCATTAAGTTGAAAATGCTCCCAATGCCCCACAACAACATCCTGGGCTGTTACAAGGAATAAATTTTCACTTGGTATCCTAGGACAGGGGTTGGTATGAACTCAGTGTTGCAGTTATAGTTGTAGTGAGTAGTTACGTTAGAAGCCTGTGCCTTTTCAAATATCTACCCATTTATATCTACTTTGTGTGGCTTCTTGCAGTCAGCTGGCTCTTTCATTGTCTGTGAGCTGTCAGTTGAGATTATAACAAATCTAAATTGTGTACTATATTAAGGAGACACTGGTAACTTTATTTCTTTCTATAGAAATCATAGCAAGAAAACGCACTCTCACTGGCTGTTTGTATTTCTCCTGGTAGTTAACCTGAGATTGTTTTCTGTGGGTTATTTTTCAACGCTTAGTCCAAATGAGTAGCTCTGAAGACAGGACTTTAAGAAATGTAAGCACTGGTCATTTCTGATTTTAGTAGGAATTTCCATGTCCAAAATCGGATGTCTACGTTTTTTGACTTTGCAAAAGACTGGTACAAATACTTACATTGGGCTAATGTAGTGCAAACAAGGCTGTTCATACAGCCACTGGAACATATGTTTTGTCTTTTCATTACTCTTCATTACTTTCTGATACTTGTAGCCTTAAGCCAGACACCTGGAAAGACAATCTGTCTTCGAAACCAGTTACTGAAGATGCTGTTAGATGTAATGCATTCAGACAAACTTCATCTGTCCTCTGAGTAAGTAGAAACGATTTAGGAAGGCGTGTGTAAGGGTCTGTGTCTTACAGATTTCCTTTTCACCAGTGTTTGTCCAGGACTAAACATGCTGATAATATTTGAATGCTAACAAAGTGATATATGACAGAAGATTTTATTTGGAGTTACTTTGTTTAAATGATTTATCTCAGATGGCAAAGATCTCCATTTTTGAAAAAAAAAAATCAGAAAAATATTCAAAGGAGGAAATTGGACACCCTTTTATTTCAACATGAACAACATGGGAGAAGTAACAATTGTTTTGAAACTGAATTCAGTCTAATGTGGGATAGCTCATGTCCCAGTGCATTAATCACAAACATAGTTATTCCATAGTTCTACACTGTGCAACTGTCAATGAGCTGCGGTCTTGGCAGGAATATAAAGCTGGTCTTAGTAGAAACAGCTTGGCTTGAACAGTGTGTATGAACATATCAGTCTCCATAATTCTGTGTAGTGGTTAAATTTGAACTGTTGTGTGGTGTTGCTGGTGTTGTGCGTGTTTATTTTTTTTTTTTGTTGGTTTTTTTGTTTTGTTTTGTGTCTTTTACCCCAGTGACCTGAGCTCCTAACTCACTCAGCAGTAATTCTAAATAAAATTGCCCATCTTTGACCATGTCTCCTCTCATATGCTTTCACTTCTCTGTTTGTCCCAGGGTGCGAGAAGAAACATTCCTGGCGCTGGGGCCAGACTGGTTCCTGATGTTCACACAGAGCTACCTGCACTCTACCACAGTTGTGTTAGGGATCAAGCTGCTTCTCTGTTTCCTCCACAATCGTTCCCTGCTTAAAAAGTTCAGGGAGGGGATAGTGGCTGGGCGCTGGCTGGAAAACAGCTCTGCAGGGTTGTGTATTCTAATAGGTATGTCTTGGTGGAATGTTCCCAAAATGCTCTCTTGCAGGAAATGCAGGGAAAGTGTTATGAAAATGACACTTGTGTTGTAAAAGGTCTTGATCCACCTCCTTTTGCCTCTCATAAGAGAATTCCTACTGTAGACCAAGAATCAGTGCTGCTTTCTAGGACAAGCCTGCCCTAATACGTCAGTGGTTCGGTGCTACAGGTGGTATTTCAATTGGCAGTCACAGGGAGAATGGCCTTTTTGTCTTGTAGAAAATTAGACTTGCTGATAAGTCTGTGCTGTGTTTAGATGTCAGCTTCTGCCTTGAGCCTTCCTTTTCTTTAAGGAATTGTTCAGCATCTTTTTGCTCATTAGACCTGTGGGTATGGGAGAGGGAAGAGAAGGGAGGAGGAATTGAGGGAGAGTCTCTTGTAAGTGATAATGGGAAAAAAATGTTATGTGATAGTTTGAAGAACCACCATGAATTCATTGAGATTGTAGTGCAGCAGAGTACTCAGTAGTCTGGGACGTATACAAATTGGGATCAGAGTAGGACAGTAATCCTCTGATATGGCCCTCATTCATAGAGACATCTTCAGAACATTTTCCTTTTTCTTCTTTCTTTCTCTTTTTCTCCAACTTTAAAGATAATTTAAAACCCCAGACTCTGGTACCTGATCGCAGCTCCTTCTTGATTTTTGGATTATCTGTGTTGCAAACGTGTTTGACTGATCATGTCCACATCCCGGAGATCTACTTACAGGTGGCAGGGCTCCTTTTAGCAACTCCGCAGTGTGAACCACCCGAAACAGCCAAGGTAAGGCCTTGAAAAAATTGGGTGGACAGGTAAGAAACTTCCATTGCATTACTCCTTTGATAGATTTTTCAGGCAAGTTAGTTGTGGGTTTTGTTGCTTTTTTGTTGGATGGTTAAAATTAGTCATCCACACTTTAAAGATGAAGTTCAGAATACAAATTTCCTTAAGGCAAAGTTAACTAATATGTCCACATAGGAATTAAACGACATTTAACTAATGTACTTGAGAAGGTAGCTCAGATTAGGTTTCCTGTCTGTTGTTATGTAGTCAAGGCTCATTAAAATCTCATAATTAATGAATTTGGGTACTTTCCCCAGTGTCCTTGGAAGCCATAAGGTTCTTTTCTCAGTAGTGCCAAAGAGATCTCCCTGAAGAGGGCAATCCATTAGTGCTGTCATGGGGAAATGCAAGAAACAGAGGAGAGAAGAGCTGGTGGAGATAAGGATAATATTTTTTGCTGATTGGGAGAGTGTAAGAGTTGTTCTTGATGTTTTATAAAAATTAAAGTTTCTTGAAATATATCTCTCCCTTGTAGAGAGATCTTGACTCTATGCTGCAGTGGATCTTACAGCACCACATTACAGAAAATGTTGTCAAAATTGGGTTGTGTGCAGAGGCAGCTATCTTACTGCTGGAAATGGTTAAGGTCACTGTGGACAAGGTAAGCATTCTGTAGCAGGGCCAGGGCAGTGTGAACTGCAAGCTTCTCCTGAAAAGATTGTCTGTCTGTGGCAGTCTTTGTATGTAAGTGGAATCTTGCTCCCCTCATAACCTTCCCCTCCCCTCTGCTGAGCGGAGCAGTGGGCAGAGAAGAGAGCATCAGCACAGTTACTGTCTTGTTTACGATACGTAGCAGGCTCATGTTCAAGAACTCTGAGCACAGAAATGGATCTTGTCTGCAGTGTGACGTGTTTTGTCCATTCTTGGTGAGGGCAGGGGGCTATGTCAGCTTCGTGGCTGGACTTGTACAGTTTTGGCCTTGTACAGTTTTGTTCTGTGGCCATGCCATGTTTGCTGAGCTGATTAGGAATACCAGGAGAGGGGCAAAAATATGCTGATCCAAGAGAGAGAGGAATGCTGCCTTGACTAGGTGCATGTGTTTCTGTGCTTAGCCTACTGTAGATGCAGAAGCTTCCTGGGAAATTGTGTATCCACGGAATGTTATCCAGTTTCTGGACTTGGTCTATCGCAGTTATACTCGGGACCCTCTGTGGTGCTGTCCTGACTTCTTGAAAGCTTTGGCTATGGTTGCCTTCCACTCTAGAGCACCCAAGGTATGTGCATGTGAGCCAGCACAAACCACTCAACTTGGTTATGTGTGTCTAGAAGAAATACCAGGAAAGTACAGGTTAACGCATTGCTGTCTGTCTGCATCTACAGGGAAGCTCTGAAGGTCTTTTGTCTCCTGATGGTCCATCAATTGCTGAAGGGAAAGGCTGTGTTGATCCTTCATCTCTGCCAGTGCTACCACATCCTGCTAAGAAACAAGTGTGGGATTTCATGCGAGTCCTCCTGACGGACAGTCTGCTCAACATCCCAGCAAACAAACAAGGGCATCCACTTGAGCTGCTTATTGAGGTCTCTTATAGTAGTCAGACCTTATTGCTTCTCTTTGCACTGACAGGAGGTGGAAGGACAGGAGACATCCTGCTAGTGAGAGAAGGTTAACAATGGCTAAGAGATATCTTCAGTCGGCATTTGCAGCCATTTATATTCTCTAAAATATTCTCAGTACGCCTACAGGATTTCCTTGAGAATGAGGAAGCCTAAAGGATGTGACCGAATCGCATCTAGAGAGCATGTATTACTTACTGGCAGGTCTGGACAGCACACTTAGTGGAATGAAATTCTTACATTTTCTGCAAGGAAGAGATTTCTTTTCCCTCTTGTTCATTCATGCTCTCTAACACAAAATGTTACCCCTACACAATAACATTTCCATTTCCCTGGCATTTCCCAGGCAGCATTTAACATTTTCTCTAGTAATGTTTGTGTGTTTCTAGAGCAGTCCTTGAATTCTGTTGAGAACACAAGATTTCAAACATAGTATTCCCATGTGCTGATCCTGCTAAAAGGATGAAATTCTCTGAGGATAAGTTTTCTTTGGAATCACCTAAGAACTTATATTATGGCCCTGTTAGAAACTTATTGTTAAGTTAGCAGAAAGGGACTGTGCTGCCTATTGGCTTCGAAGTATAGACATACATAGGATTTCCTGTGTGATAACCTGGGGTATGAAGTTCTTCTGTCATCTGCTCTCCAGCAACTCCCCACACATGGACTTTTACTGAACTCTTTATGGGAGGTGCCCTGTTGCATTTCAAGAGGGGTGCACCAAATCTCTGCTTTCACATGTGATTATAGATTAGTTGCCACAGATGACTCCTTTTGTTTGCAGTACCTGTTATACACATCCACACCAAGGGGTAAATAGGGAAAGTGACTTTCAGCACTAGATTTCCTGTCTGTTTTCCTGCTGTGCTAATGTCTGTATGGTGACTCTACAGGCTTCTCCAGAAGATGCCTCCAGTGAGCAGAAGAGACACTTTCAGACAAAAGTCTTACTATGTGCCATGGAAGTCTTCCATCTTACAAGCCAAACTGAGGGGAAAACAAGACCAAGAGGTGGGTGGTGAGAATGAGGTTGTTAGCTAGATGTTTAGCATGTGTATCTAATTCATAGTCTATTTCCTCCAGCTATAGGCCTAAACTAACACTGGTTGCCTAATCTACTGTTGTGTTGCCATGTTTCCCGAGAGCCTCTTCCTTTTTCTACTCCTACATCCTTCTCTTATTGGGAAGAGATTCTAAAGATTAAAGTAAGTGTGAATAAGAGGAAATTAACATAGGCTTACCCTTTAGTGCTCTGGAAGCAACCCTGCTACTTAGTTATTGCCTTTTGAGTCATTAGTGGGTCCAGTCCTTCATGATAGCAAGGTTGGTTCTGTTCTTTGAATGGAGCTGGTGAACATATCTGCTAGACCAATAATATTCTTAGACACTTCCCACTTCTGTGATGTTAGTCTCTCCCTTTCTCAGCCCTGCAAACCTCAAATCTCTCTTGAACGTGTGTGTATGTGTGTTTGGTGGTGTTGGGTTTTTTTTTTTGCATGTCAGCAGTTGGGATAGTCACGCCTCTCATATCCTTTCCAGGGAGCAGTGATCCTCTTGGCACTACAGAATCAACTGCATCTACATCTGTAGTGAATGTTGTTTATTTTGCCCAGAAACTGATTGAGAAGCTGAATAGCAGAATGTTTGCTGCTGACCCCAAGCAAATCCTTCTCTTCATTGCCAAACAGATTATGGTGGTAAGTAACAGGATTTTATAGTCGTTGTCAGCATGGTTTAGTGTGTCTTTTCACACTAAATTTGTGATACCAGAATTCAAGAAAAGGGCTGCAATCCATTTGACAACTGTGATTATCCTGTTTTCTTGCATGAGCACATACTGGCCAAAGTTGACAATAAAAGCTAGATGGTGCAGCTAGCAGGGATAATCAGTGGTTTTCCCAATGCCACCATCTGCTGGTGAGGTACATGTTACCAAACGAGGATAAATTCATCTCTTTCACAATAACAGGGATTTCAGTAGAAATACAGGAAGATTGAATTTGTGCCCAGCAGGTAGTTCAGAGAATTTTTCTCAAAATAGTTTTCAGGAGTTAAAATAAAGTGAAAAGAGTGGATCCATGAGGAGAATGTTCTTTGAGCAAGCCAAGTCTTCTCTTGTTTTCCCAGGTCTCAGACGGCAGTTTTTCTCAAAAGGAAGTTTTCCTCAGTACCCTGTACAGCTGTCTAAACCGAGCGATCCTGTATTGCCTGTCCAGACCACAACAGTCACTGCCTGAACAGTTTAACATCCTGAACACTCTTCATGTCCTGCAGGAGCAGTGGGACATTATCTTTGCCGATTACAACTCAAATAATAATTTCATCGTCTGCCTCATGCACTGCCTTTGCCAGCTGAATTTGGGCAGGTACAAATATTGATCTCATTATTACATTTTCTTATCTCAACAGGCTGTTTATGTCACTGGGTGGCAAGGGCAAGATTTCACCTGCTCTTTCACACAATTTAGGCAGTCTTTTAGTTTTGGGAAACACTACAAGGTGAGAATGAGCTGAATTTAGCCAGACTAAGGACTTCAGATGTGCTGTTTGGCACCTTTGGCCCATTGGGCTTAGTGCTCTAGGGGCTGAAAGCATCAATCTGTAGCTTCCTGCATGGGACAAACCATCCTCCCTGGCCTGCTCTGTGTTAAAATGGCTGAATGATACCAGGGGCAAGAGGGTTGTTTTCTTTTTTCTTTCTTTCTTTTCTTCTTTTTAATTAAGAATAGTGACAAATGTTTTGGTTACATTCCTACACTTCTTCCCAGGTGTGGGTTAGTGTCTTTATTTGTGGGTATAATAAGCAAGGAACAGCAGATAGTAATAATATAACACTTCATTTTTTTTTTCTCTCATGAAAGAGTAAATCCTATGCTTCATGTCAGAGGCACTCAGACAAGTTTGCTTGTTTTTCTGAGCAAACCACTTAAATTTGCATGTAGGTTTAAATGCTACTTTTAGCCAAGTATGTGTCCATGTCACCTGTGTACCAATTTTTGGATCATAAGCAGTTTGGCTATTTAGGAATAGTAACTTCAGCTGAACAAACTTGAACCATCTTCAAGGGAGTTGGCCCACAAGTCCCTTATTAAACTGAGACCCTTCATAGCATTTGGACCTCAGGCCCATGGCCATTCTGAGGCATCTGCCATGAGCTAACTTATCAAGCTAGTGGTTCTGTTCCAGCCACTCTTGTATAAGTGTATTTAAAACATACTAAATTCTGTACATACATTTTTTTGGCCTTTTCTGCAAAATCATGATTCTACTGACATCAAAAGTCATGCTGTTGACTAGGAGAGTGCTAGAACATCTGTGCTTTTTGCTATTTATGTAGGTGACAGGTCAATGGAATGCTTGCCTATGTAAGCCAGGGAGTTATTTTGGATAGTTCTGTCAAAAGAAGGAAATAACACCAACTCTTGTAGGTTTATTTGTGTATTCTGTGTTTCTACTGTTTCTGAATACTAACCATTTTTACCCATCTCACTTTTTGTGTGGAAATTATCTGACTGGAATAAGAATAATCATGGAGGTAGGAAAAAACCTCAGAAAGAGTGGCGTATTTCAAATATGTTGTAAGACTGGATTCAGTTTAGGCAGAGCACACTGGAAGTATTCCTCAACCTCTACGTAGCACAGGAGGTTTCCCTTGAAACAGCAAGCATCATTATAGGGAATAAAGCAACAGTACAAACATAAAATAAAACCACAAATGTTGGTGTTTTGCAAAAGTTAAGCACAGCAAATCAAGCAATCACAATTAGTGCATTTTAAAGAAAACCTGAAGATAAAAAAGGTAACTTTGCCTACCCAGGAGACTTTACTCTCTTTCTGCTTTTTAAAGAAAACCTGAAGAAGAAAACCTCCTGCCTACCCAGGAGACTTTACTCTCTTTGGTATTGCTGCTAGTTGCAATTAAAAGAACATTATATATTAAGAGTAGCTATAGTGGGTCAGAACAAAGGTCTGGATAACCTGACCCCAACATTTTCCATATCATGGGGAATGCCTGTAGTGATGAGATTTTTCAGAGCAAAGAAGCAGTGTGAAAGATACTTAGGGTCAGAGACAGATGGATTTGGGCTACATCATCAGCACAGACCTATGCTGCAGGTAATTAGAGCAGTGTGAAGGGGAGGTACGAGTTTATGGGTAAGTCAAAGGGTAAGATGTAGAGCAAAACCAGACCGACTTGTGGGACCATGAGGAATGCTCCTTAATTCTGGAAAACAGACTGGCAGTGGTTTAATTACCTGCTTCATGTAAATCCTGCCATATCATGTGACTGTTGTAAGCATTGGACCTTGGTGATAATGATCTGCTAAATAAATATAGTGGGAGCGGGAGTGAATGGGTAGACATACCTTTAGCTTTTTCCTTGTCCTCATGTTACTCCATTTCCTTTACATGCCCTCCTTTGCTTGTCGCAGCTACCCAGAAGGTTTTGGGATTGATGCAAGACCCAAACTTGCTTCGTATCACCAAATTTTCCTTGCTCCCACTGAAGAGGAGAAAGGCAGCTTGCCTACTCCAGATGATGGTAATTTATGGCTGTTGGTATCTTCGACTTACAGGGCAGGAAGGTGCTGGGCCTAAGTATCCATCTGAGCGTCTATGGAAGTGCTGCTTAACACAGAACAAGGAAAATTGTACTATAAATGATTTGTCTTCACACCACACATTTTTACTGGAAACTCAAACCCCGTGCTCTCAGAAGAGAGTTCAGTCTGGTGATCTCTTCCTGCCTACGGCGGCCAGTGTCAGAGCCCAGCTACATGCTGCTTCCTTCTTAATTTCTTTTTTTCCAAGAGCAAATGTAGAACTTGAAGTCTGTGTTGCAGGAAGAAATATTTGACTGTTCTAGGAGAAGACAATGGGCTGAAGAATTTGGGAGCTGGATTCAGTGTGGGCTGCCAATTAAACTGTACTGCATAAGGACGCTCAATTTTCTATCTTGAGCTGGTGCTAGGGCAACCAAATTTCTCTTACTTACAGGGAGAATCGGAAAAACAACTGAGCACTTATTTGCAGAACTACCCACTGCTATTCTAAACTGTTTGAGTTGGCTGTTTTGCATTTTTTGTAATGACAGTATAAAATAATGTCTTTTATGTGCTTTAGCCAGCCCTATATAAGGTGTTAAAGATCATCAGACTTCCAATGAGATGTTTTTTGAGGCAGAACCAAATATAATCATGTCACTCGTATTTATCTTAATTAGGGAGAAATATAACAAAATAATTTTTTACTGCTTCCTGTATTAGCCTAAATAGACTGGCTTAGATCCTATGAAGCTAACAAACAAAAAGGAGCATCTCCACCAGTTCCAGCATTTATTCTAGACCAGTGCCGCTCTAAATGAGGTGTTTTTGTGTTGCTGCTTCATTCCTTATTTTCTGTTTCTTTTCTAGTTCATCGAGAGATTCTGAGAACAGTAGAAATCCTCTGGAAGCAGCTCATTTCTCAGAGGCGTCAGGCTCTGGAGGACACTTACAAGATGGATCTCTCCATAAAAGGCAGCGACAAAGAGAGGGAAATGAAGATAACTGAGATCACTCCTCTCTGGGAAGAAACGATGACAAAAGCTTGGCAATACTTGATAGGTCCCTGTTCAGTTATGGAGCACTTACTGTAATGAACAAAGGCATTGCAGAATAATGGAAGGCTGTTGACTCCATGGTGGTGCTCTTATTGTGCACATCACTTCCTAGAGAAAACAGATTCTTATTCTTCCAATATTATAATTAGAAGGATGTTTTCTGTCATGCTGCAGCACTTGTTTAATCTTCTGGTGGTGGTCTACAACTATTGTTTTACTGCAAGGCAGAAAAATCTCCTTATGCAGTCATATCCCATAGGAGAATTTCACTGGAGGGAAGATATTTGGGAGAAGGAGACATAACCATGTGTAACACCTCAGAGATTTGAGGCTGCTGTAGATAGCATGACACTGGTCAATGGAAGACCTCAGTGAGGATTTTATATAAAGGCTGGAAAGTACATATTGATTTAATGACTCTCTTATAAATGAAAGAACAGGCCAGATGAAGTGCAGCTCTGTCATTTTCTTGCAATTTACGTAATATGTTTGCAAACTCAGCACTTCCCCGTGGTTTGCCTTCAAGTCTTTGTGCTTTTTTTCTTTTCTGTTCTTTCTTCTGGACCACAGCATCTGAAAAAAGAACTCTTCAGAATAAAGCAGGGCCAAGCCTGTCACAGAGTAAGCACAGTTCATGGAGTGAAAGTCTCTCTTCAGCAATTAAGTTGATGCCTGGACGAACCACGAAGGAAATTGGTTGTAAGACTGAGGTAGGGTGTGTTTTTTGTCTTTTTAGGCTCTGTAAACTGCTGTAAGCTTTTGAAAGGATTCTGGACTCGAAAGCCTATTCAGGGGTCTTTCCACTAGTACCGGGAACGTTCAGGAGCACTGGGCAGATACACCTACATGCCTGCGATTAGTCACCTCTAGTTGTCTGTTTTCGTATTGACCTAAGCACCTTCCTGCTGGAGCTTACATGGGTGTGGAATAGTTTTAGACAAACAGATAATCCATTTCTGTAGCTCATTTGGAACAGGACAACCTGATGCTTCCTAGAAACACTTATGCATGTGTGTATAGGTGGGTCTACTGGAAAAACTACATGTAGCCATATGCTGGACCTCTATTTAGGAATCCAGCTTCAAGCAAAAATATTAGCTCAAAACCTGTACCTGTGATTTTACAATAACATCTGAGCACCTTACTGAGCAACAGTTATTTCTCAGCATGTCACAGCATTTTCCTCATTCCTTCCCTTTGCTTTGTAGAGCACGTTCTTCCTAGGTACATATGTAGAGTGTGATGTCATACTGCAAGAGCATCAACTATTTGCCCTGGGGTCTGTTTAATTATTTTTTAAAATTAATTTTGATTATTACAGCTGATTACACCTCAGTGAGCAAGGAAAGAGATGGATTTCTTTGCTCCTCCATAGCATTCTTCATAAACTTCGCAAGCAGGGTGCCAGGTGGAACTCTCATTATTAAAGGCAGCTAAAAGTTACATTAAAAATCAATGGGATTCATTCTTCTAACTTGGTTATAAGCTTCTGCAGATTTTTCTTACAG